TGCAGAGATGCTCAGAGGCGGCTGATTTTGCCCTGAGAGTAAAGGGCAAGGAGCACATGACGCAGGGGGTACCACTCAGGATCTAGACAAGATTCAAAGCTGGGGATGGGAAAGGTTTAGAAAGTGGGAAGTGATTCTGTGTGCCATGTTGGGGAGGCCGCTCACTTCTAGGATCTGTTATATTTGGCTTAGCTTTCCATCTTCTCTGTATCTTCATAACATCTGGTCATTAGCAAACAGATTGGCTTTTCTCAACCATGTAATGCCATTGTTAGACAACAGCAATTTGATTTTCAGAAGCATGCATCACACCATTGCGGTGCGGTCATGGAGTGTTACATGGTCGTTCACGGGTATGAGGTCTAGTCTAAGTCTATCCCACTGGAGAAATACAGGTGCATTTAAAGGCACACCGAAGAGGGGGGCGGCGGTGCAAGGAACGCCGCTGTTTTTGTCTATTGGCTTTGTGCCCTATGACCTCACTAACGTGTTTATGAAATCCAAAATTCCTGATGGTGTCTGTGGGGTTTTTAAAGAAACACCCACAATGTCAGTAAATAGGACTACTGGGACATCTTCCTTTCCAATTTTTATATTTTCTTGCTCTAGCTAAGACTTGCAGTGCTAACTAAAGAGAGGAGACAGTAGGCTGTGTCTCCCTCCAGCTGTCGCTGGAGTGCTCTCCATTTTCCCTGCTAAGTATAATATTGGCTACAGATTTGTCTCATTTCGCTCTTATTAGGTTGAGGTCGGTTTGATCATTAAGACATGTTAAACTTTCTTAAATGCCTTTTCTGTGGCCATGGAGATGGTCATATGATTTCTGTTTTTATATCTATTCCTGTGATATGGTTACTGATTTGTGTATACTGAACAAACTTTCCTTCCTGTGATGAAACCAACTTGATCATAGTATATGACTTTCATGTGATCTTGAATTTAGTTTGCAAGTATTTTGGTGAGAATTTTTGTGTGTTTATTTGAGAATTTTCTGTATTTGCTAAAGAAATTGCTACAGTTTGTGGGGTGGTGTGTGTGTGTGTGTGTGTGTGTGTGTGTGTGTGTGTGTGTGTGTATCTGATTTTTAACTCAGGGCAATCCTGACTCTGTAAGGAGTTTGGTAGTGTTTCATGCCTTTCTCCTTTGTGGAACAGTTTACAAAATGTTGGCATTTAAATCTTCCTAGTCTGGTAGAACTCAGCAGTGAATAACCATGCCTAGGCCTTAGTTTGTTGAGAAAAATTTAACTGCTGTTTAGTTCTGTGGTTTTTCCTAGGTCTTTTTAAGTTGGTGGTGTCTTAAAATTTTAAATTTGGTAGTCGTAAGCATTTAATAATTTATTTCTTCTAGATTTTTTCTCAACATGTTGGTTATGTTTTCAAAGTATTACCAAATGATATTCTGGATTTCCTGGAGTCAACTTAACAACTCCCATTCATCTCTCATTTTATTAATTTGGGTTTTCTCCTTTTTATGTATGTATGTGTATGTGTGTGTGTGGATGCATGTGTGTGTCTCAGTCTTATGCTGCTGTGAAGAGACACCATGACCATGGCAACGCTTATAAAAGAAGACATTAAATTGGGGCTGGCTTACAGTTTCAGAGGTTTAGTCCATTGTCATCATGGCAGATGAGTGGTGGGGCCAGCCTTCCTGCACTCTTGACCTTGGGCCAGCTCACCTGCACTCCCTCTACCAGCTCTACTGTGCTGACCAGACTAGGCGAGGGCTTGCTGTCCTGAGTGCTGCAGCTGGTGAGGGACAAGCCCAGCTTACCCACTGGTGAGGGGCAGGGTGGGGCCATTCTTATTCAAACCACCACACCACCTGTCTGTCTGTCTGTCTATCTATCTATCTATCTATCTATCTATCTATCTATCTATCTATCATCTACCTATTTATCTATTATCTATTTATAGATTTAATACATATATTTCTCTCTTTCTCTCTGTTAGGGAGTTGGCGATCTTTTAAAATTTTTTTTCAAAACTCCAACTTTTTGTTTGGTTAGTTCTATGAAATCTACTTTTTCTTTCAATTTCATTTATTTCTCTCCTGGTTTTTTGATCACCTCCTGCTGTCTACTGGGTTTGGGTTTGGTCTTGTTTTTCTGATGCTTTGAGGTCATTATTTGAGACTGTTGATTTATTTACTTCTTTGAGCTCTTTGATATTTTAGATCAAGCAGTTGTAACTATAAACTTTCCTTTCAGACTGCTTTGGCTGTGTTCCAAAGGTTCTGGTAGGCAGTGTTCTCATTGTCACTTGATTCTAGGAATATTTAAATGGCCTCCTTAATTGCTTCAGTGACTCACTCCCTGTTCACTTAAAAGTGCGTTGGTCTAAGTATTTGTGTATTTGAGTGTTGGGGGTAAGCCTGGCTAGTTTCGTTCCACTGTGGCTTGAAAGTATATTCATGAAGTAATCCAGGCTCAGAAAGACAAAAACTACTATTCTTTCTTATGCGTGGGTCCTAGCATCAAATCTGGAAAGGGTGAGGGGGATAAAGGAGCGTGCACAATAAGGTGAAAGGGGGATCCTGGGATGGGGAGGGTGCAAATGACACAGGTGGAGATGTGGAAGATGAAGAAAAATGTCATAAAAACCTGTCCCTCTACGGTAATTAAAATTTACATTTAAAATGTTGAAGGTGGATATAAAACAATTTTTGGAAGAATGTTTCCATCTAGTGGTCAAGTTGAGAAATTCACTTAGACATGATCATGTTTTCTTAAAAAAAAAAAAAAAAAAAAAAAGGTCTGTTTTATAGTTTCCTATTCACTAAAAGTTATAATTTCTTTTTGCCCTCAGTTATCAGGCTTCCAGAAATTTATTCTCATATTTGGCCTGATTCCCAAAGAAGCGATTTCTCCTGGGAAAAGTAAACTGTGTGCTTGTTAAACATTAGACATGTCTTACCTCAGCTGACACTAAACTCTGGGAATGGCTCTGTTCTTGCCCACGCTTGTCTGCGCTGTAACAATGTCACAGACCCCTGAAGACAGAGCCACCAGCATGAACAATCAAACTCTGACACTGTCTTACAGCAGGTGTGCGCTCCCCATCTGCTGCCCTGGTTCTAGTCCTGAGTGCTTTCCCTCTCTCCTTTCCACGGGACGGTGTCTGACGTCTGTCTTCCTTCGGGGTCATTTGTATTTCAGCTGTTCACTGTACTGTCACACTACTTGGAGAGCTCACGGGGCTGCGTGTCCTTTTGGCTCACTTTCTCAGTGCTGTACCCCCGCTCTCCCTTTGTCGACATTGAGCGTCACTCTTCGCCTCTCTTTGCTAGTGGTATTTGGGTTGCTCACCCTCCACTTTTGCTCTACTACCCAATCCTGGGCCATTTCCAGTGCATCGTCTTCTAATAATGTTTTCTTGTGCATGTGACCGTGCCGGTCTCTCAAAATACCACCCATTCCCTGGCCCTGCGCCATGGTCATCCTATTCTCTGTCAAGGACTTCTATTCACCTAAGGTAGGGACCCATGAGAGAACAAGGAAACGATTTATACAAGTCCTGCTTGGTGAACCAGAGACATTAGTTTTGGCTCACACACAGGCGCGTGAGTGAGAGTTTGCTTACAGACGCTTGGGTGATTCTAAAACAGGTGCACCGCCAAAAAGTCCACCCAAGCAGGGGTAACAATCTCTCAGCCGTATGAATGTGTTCCCACACTCAGTCCCCTTCTCCATACTAAAGTTAGAGCCTCTTGAGACTGCATGCAGCTGGGAAAGATGCTTGGAGGAACGTGATGATTAGGAAATTGTGACAAAAGATGCAGCCCTGTCCAGAGTACCTTCTAGTTCTGGTTCTTGCCATGTCTTTACATGGCTTGTGCCCTAGGATCCCCTCAAAGGTCAGCAAGAGAATGAAGAAAATACAGACAGAAAGAAGCTGGGATCAAAGAGTTTGGGCTCTCTAATGGAAAAACTGCCCCTGTCCAATTTATTATGTACAGTGGAACAGGGAGGCGGGGTTATTGAATACAGCTGTAGAAGGAGGTGGGGTTATTATAGACAGCTGAAGAAGGAGGCGGGGTTGCTGATACAGCTATAGAAGGAGGTGGGGTTATTACAGGCAGCTGAAGGAAGCAGGCTTAGTTAACCTTGGTAGGAGCGGTGTCTGTAAGGGAGTAGTGTTCAGGCTGTAACATCTGGGGTGAGACAGCTGTTGTGGAGATTCTCCACACACACCATCAACACTCACAGGCCCGAGGCAGGCTTTGCTGCCCCATGGGTCAGAGGCCCCTGTCCTTGACAAGCCATGCTCCTGTCAATTCACATTCACTCAGAGCTTCACTTGCTGCCTACAGTTTTGTTTTGTTTTGTTTAATCACAGTATACAATTGAAATGTGTTCTTTTAACTTGCTAATAGTTTTTCTGCCTGCCCCCATTACAAAGTTGTAAACTCACAGGCTCAAAGCTTTATCTCAGTCATGATTTTGTCTATCACGACTGGTACGTTCCTAGTGCTTTATAAACGTGTATGTGAATAATAATAAACAAGGAGACATGATAAGGGAGCACGTGTTTCCCCTGAAGGCTGAGGATTGCTGGAATGCACAAGGTCTAAGGCAGAGGTGTTTACCCCTCAAGACTCCACAGACAAAGAAAAGGTGTGTGCTAACTTCACAGAGATGAGGACTGTATGAAAAACAAAAGGTACTGGGACTCATTGAGATTCTGTCTGCTCTGTTACGGGGAGTGGTGAATGGGAAGTTAGGAAATACTCTGAGGACCCTTGGTTCAGAGAAAGATCAGAGTAAGGATATGCAGGAAGCTAAGAAGACCAGGACAAACAGGGGTGAGGAGCACCAGTAGTTTTAGATGGAAATAGTAGAATTAGGTAGAAATTTATACTGAAGATTAGCAGTAGGCTTGAAGGAAGGCCACGCCTCAGGGATCAGCAGAGACAAGCTTCCAGGAAAGTGCTTAGAGCTGAGTAATTATGATTCATAACAAGGATCTCAGCATGCAGGATTTGTATGTATTTCTTTTTCTGTTTAATGATTTTTAATTCTGAGAATTTCATATGACGTATTTGTCTACTTCTCCCCCATCCCATCCCATCCCAGAATCATTCTCTTCCCCATCCCCCACAACCGGCAAGGCCAGCTTATGTTTTCCAGCTGGTCTCAGGAATGTGTGTGGTGCACCCACCTGGATTCGCATAATTAAAGAAAACTGACTCTCCTGATGCTAGATCCATCTTATCAAATAACTCTGGAGCCAGTTGTGGGATTTTGGCCCACCTGCCCCGCTCTATGCTGGGATTTTGTTGACCAGGTCTTGTACATGCTGTCACAGGTACTGAGTTTGTGTGTTCAGCTGTCCTGTTGGAGCTGGAAACCACTGTTTCTTTCCTCTTCTCTGCCACCTCTGCATCTTACAACATTTCTGTTCCCTCTTTCTCAAGGATCCATGATCTCTGATGGGAGCTATGTGATAAACACGTCCCCTTGAGGACTAAGCGCTCCATGTCTCTGATTCTCTGCACAGTGACCGCTTGGGAGTCTCTGTGTTAATTGCTGTCTATGGTGAGCAGCTTCTCTGACAAGGGTTGAGGGATGCTCTGACCTGTGTATAACAATGAGAGAAGAGGAACTGTTTTCAGTAACACATTTCCACTGGTCCAATAGCAGCACAAATGCTTTGAGGAGACCCAACCACTTTCCGAGTGGACCTACGGCCTGTTCCTTTAGACAAAGCTCATACCTGGTACTGTGTAAGGGGCCAATAGCCTGTAGCTATGTCATAGACCTTAGGGGAGAAGCCAAGACTGCTAAATGGATCCATAGATTGCAAAGGAGTCCGGAACGAGAGTGGCAATAAGAAAATAGAAGAAGACAAGGGAAATATAAGCTTTTTAATACCCAAACAAACGATACTAAAACAACAACGTGGACTCCTTTGCTTGTTTTAAAACAGGCAACAGTGCTTGAATCTCTCTCCCCCCCCACTCCTTGAACTATTCCAAGTCTTCTAAGCACTTTGAAGCATGGGTGGATCGATGGTTTAATAAAGACAAGAACAAACAAACTAGAGCAAATTTCTCAATAGATGTCATCACCTTCCTGTAGCAAAGGCATGTTCCTGACTCCTTGTTGCCATCTGTTTGCTCCACTGTCTGCCTGGTCCCCCTCCGTCCTGTTCACTCTCTTCTGTCTGGTTCCTTTTCTTCACTCATGGGTTCAAATGTGGTTCAAATCATCCGTCTTCCAGAGAGCAGTGACTGATTCTCACATTGAGATAACTGCCTTTAGGAGAAACAGAGGTCCTTGTCCTCACAGATAAGCACCAGGAACCTGCAGAGCTGTCTCTTCAAAGGGAGGGATGTATAACCTGTTTTCCGCCCAGAAGGCTGGAGCAGAGGTGGCTAGTAGCCTGCTGACCTTTGTGCTATCTGTGTGGCCGAGACCCCACCTCACCCTACGTCACACCTTTATGATGAGCCTGTTTTTCTCAGCCAATCTATAGAACACATCTTTATGGAAAATGTCACATGTAGTTTACAGGAAGTTTCTACGTGGTCACGTCTTAAGCTTTACTGTACACGTGTAATAGGGCTGACTGGGTTCTGGGACTCAAACTCAGGTCACAAGGCTTGCGTCGCAAGCACTTTAATCCACTGAGCCATCTCGCTCATCTCGTTCTCCTATGGTTTATCGGGAAATATTTTTACTTGTGTACTACTTCACATACTCACAAAGTCTTGCAAATTTTTCTTGGGCTAAAAGATAGGCCATGAACGGAAGATGTTTAAGAAGCCCTGCACTTGTGTGCTTGATGGATGAGACATGCTCAGTCCAGGATAGTGGGAACTTGAAATTGGCCTCTAGGGTGACCGAAATGCAGAAAGGCAACCCTGCAATAAGGATTTGCCTCAAAACCAAAGTTCTCACTGGAGTCTCCAATCTCTTCCCTTTCGCCCTTTCTGCTTTGAGTCTCTTGTTTCTGTGTCTCTCTTAGCTCTGGCTTCTGAACTCTTGAACATTCCTATTTCCTGGGTATTTCTTCTGAACGTCCTTCCATTTGCTCAGCAGTTCACTATTCCTCTGCCCTCCGATTCCCGTGAGTGACCCCGAAAGAGACTCAGATCACCGGGGTCAGTGGTTCTCTGACCGTACAAACAGAATTCCTTCACCTCAGGACACACAGGCTGATGGCAGGGAATGGTTTGCCTTGTCCACAAGAAGGGAAGTAAATGAAAGGATAGGGAGTTTTAAACTTTTTCTACCCTTGTCTCTCGGAGCAACTTCATCAGCTTGCTTACCTCTATGGAAGAGAGGAGGCCTGCCTTTCTGTGCCCCTGCTGAGAAAGAAAAGCACTCAGTTGCAGTCTTCACTGTCAGTCACGATGCATAGGAAGGAGGCAGTGGGGAGAAAGAGAGCAGGGTGCGGCCAGAGAGATTGACCTTGCATGACCTCCAAGGGGCCTTAAGCAGGAAAGTGTGCTTCCCAGTTCTGCCTTTAAGGGAAAACATCTCAACAACAGAATGCAGAACAGTGTGGACACTGTGAGGGAGTTGCTGTTTGTGTATCAGTGGAACAGAGAGGCTTTGTTGACTGTTCTTTTAGAATTCTGAACCACTGCTCACTGTCTCATTACTATGACTAATTTCATCAATGGCAGAAACATAGTTTTCTCTTTGAACAGAAAACTCTCTAGTGACAACTTGCTTGTTTTTCCTATAAAACTTTAACTTATTTCTAACCTAGTGTTTCTCTAGATTGCTCTAAGGGAGCTCATCACCTACTGTGGACCTAACTGATATCTTGAAGTGGTACTTAATGGTTAAGGAAATTAAAGAACAGAAAAAAAAAAAAAAACAAAAAAACAAGAGATATAGACTGTAACCCTGAGAACTAAATTTTAAATCACATTTTAGTTCTACTTACATATAGCAGGTAAAAGCCCCAAGATAATGATGCTTCCATCCTAATGAGGAAAAGGCAAATAAATAGTTATTTTCTTTTTGAAGGATTTAGTGTTTTTAGTTATGTGTATATGTCTGTATCTGGGTATATGTGCCCATGAAGACCAGAAGCGGGCCTTGGATCCCTTGGCACTAGAGTTACTGGTGGCAATGAATTAACTGAGGTGGATGCTGGCAACCTAATCATGGGCCTCTGTAAGAAAAAAGAAAAGTCACTTTTATTCACCTGCCTCAATTGCTGTCTGGCAGGCTTGCCTCTGTCTGCTAACCTAGGCCTCATCCTAGGAGCTTCTAGCCTTCATACCACCTAACGTAGGCCCAGAATGTTTTTAGGCTCTGAGACTTACTGCTTAATAAGCTCACCCTTTCTTGTTTTTTTGTTTTGTTTTTTTTTTAGCTCAAAGCTGGCTGGTTCAGTTCAACTGTTCTGGCTCAAACTCCTCTCCCAGCTGACTTACTCAGTCTAGCTTTTCTCTCAGCCTCTGAGTTGCTCTGCTTGACCTCAAACTAACTGCAGCAATCTTTTCTAATCTTCTGGCTCTTTCTCATTCTCTGGCTCATTCTGTCTTCACCTGTGTCTTGCTTGTTCTCTCAGTCGACATCTTTTTGTAAAACTCTCCCAGGAAAACTGCCTCCTCTCTCCTTATTCTTTGTTCTGCTCCCTTAAGCAGCTTCCCTTTCCTCTCTCTTCTCATGAGAGTTGGGTGTATCCTATTCTGTCGAGTCTTTCTCTGATTCATCACTTTGTCTGCCCTCAATTAGACATCACTTCCAAACACGGGTGCTTCCTTTTACAAACTAACTTAACCTTCATTGCTTGGGATTAAAAACATGTACCACCATGCCTGGACCTAGGCTTTTCTTTTCTTGAAGCATGCTCTATACCAGGCTGGCCTTGAACTCAGATCTGCTTGCTTCTGTCTTCTTTATTAAAGGCCTGTTTGTATTCTAGCCAGATCACACAGGCCTAGAAGGTCTTTGAATGTGATCTCTTGCCAGAACAGCCATATTCTCAGCTCATAAAATCTCTCTACAGTGAACTATCTCCCCAGCTGCCCCAGACAGTTTTGATCATGGGTCCACCATAGCCAAGGCTACCAAGAAGCCAGGAAAGCTGACTTTGCAAGAGTGACAGCTCCTCTGCAGGAAGATGGACAGGTTTACCTGTGGTAGACAAAGGGTGGACCCTCAAAAGGCAGCTGTGAAGAAAGCAGGTGAAGTACAAGCAAAGGTTGAGCATGGGCAAAGAGGATGATTCACAGTTCCTAGGAATGCAGAAGGTAAGTGTTCCCACCAGCCCACAGTCCTTTCCCATGAGCCTCTAGTGAATGGGTTTAATGCATATGAGGGCTCATCTTGGTTGGCAGCTTGACTGGATCTGGAATCAACTAACTAAAATGCATGGCACAGGGCATCCCTGTAAAGGACTTTTTTTTTTTTTTACCAAATCATTCAAACTACCTTCTGGTGAAGATAGGAAAAAGTGTGAAGAAAGAAACTTGGTTCTCCTTCTGGTTTCCTTATGCTGCTCACGAGCTCACCTATGTTGCTGCTGCTGCATTCCTTCACCGAAGTTTTGGGGTTCCCAACACAGACTTGAGGATGAGCAGCTCTCCAGGAATCCTCTAGCCCACCAGTGTCAGGGGCCTAATGAGCTATCCAGCCATGTAGGCTAAGCAACTGTGGGATGCTGGACCTCTCCAGCGTGAGGCAGCCATTGCTAGACTACCTTCACCATGTTGGTATAAGCCAAAATAAATCCTAAGTTGGTTTTGGTCATGGTATTTTATCTCAGAGCCAGAAAAATAGCTACTACATGGGGCAAAGTAGAAGACAGAGAACCGTCTTGTCTGGTAGTCTCTAGAAAGGAGCCAGAACCCACCCCCCTTGCCTCCAGGCCTCAGAAAAGAATGATAGGTTCTAGGGGAGGGAAAGACCTTTGTTCTTGAAAGGGCAGATCATGTCCTGGGGCACCATCTTGTACAGTTAGGAAACAAAAGCCTAGTTTAAGGATGGCAGAGCTAACAGGAGAAAAGTGTTTAGGAGGCTGGCTTGAGCCCAGTCTTGCATAGTATATTTGTTTATATTTCCACATTCTGGTTTCCCTCTGCAGTTCCAGGCTCATAACTCACCCCTGAAGGCAGGCCATAGAAAGCAGCATCTCACTTCCCCAGAGCAGGTCACAGAATCTGTCCTGCCTTCCTGACCTGCTTGCCTAAGTCAGACTCTCCCTACTCCAGAAGGGTCCTGCTCCACACCCTGAAGGAAAGAGTGTTCTATACAGAGACTAAGGAATCTGAGACTCTCTGTCACCTTTTCATTCAGTCTCAGTCAGCAAGGTTTGTGCATGCTTGAGCAGTGCTTATTCAATCAAATCCTTATAAAACACAGTGGACTGTGTTCAGAGAACTTCCCAATAGTTGAGCATACGAACAGAGCCTCTTGGAAGGCGTGGATGTGTCACACCTCTTCCTGTGCCTGACATACCATTTCCTTGGTACCCTTGGTAACCCGTAAGCACATTTCCCTACACTCTGTGAGCCTCTTGTGTTAGGCAGCTTTCTGCTGCTGTAACAAATACACCCGATTGTTGGCTTGTAAAGAGAAAGATTGAGTATCGTTTGGAGTTTGCAAGGTTCCATTTCCTGTCTGAAGGGGTTGTGGTACACAAATCCTCCTTGAGGATACCCTGGCATTGAGTTAAATATCTACTACTGGGCTCTAACCCTTTAAAATTCACACCACATGCCCATATTGCTAAGCTGGACACCAAGCCTTTTTTCTGTGGGGAGAAGGGAGACATTCAAGTTCCCATCTGCAGCACAATGCAGTCGAAATACCAAATCCAAAGAAGCAGCGTTTGTGGGACCCCGTTCGTAGCTTATTGAGTCAATATGTTAATTAGCTTTTGCATCATTGTCATCTAAATAGCTGGCAGAAATGACTGAAGGGAAAAAAGGGTTATTTGTGCTCAAACTTTAAGAGGCTCTTAGTTCATAATAATGGAGAAAGCCTGTCAGAACATTTGCATAGAGAGTGACAGGAGTGTGTGGTAGAGGCTCTTTATATGTCGGCTGACCAAGAAGCAGAGAGCAAGAACTGAGGACCAGTGTAATTTTCAAAGCACCACACCTACTGACCTATGTTTGCTAGTTAGGCCAGAACTTCCCACATAGCACCATCAGCTAGGCACAGGGCGTCAGAAAAAGATCTCGAAAGAGGCATGTCACATTCATGCATAACGGCATCTGTGAGATGACGTCGAGCCAGCCTTTCCCACTGTGAGTGATGTGGTTCTGTCCCCAAGCCAGAAGTAATTCAGAATACCCTGCATGTGGTGGCTTTCAGTTACCACTGGAGAAGATGCTTGATAGAAGAAAGGTCATCTTTATTGAGAAGGGATGGAAACCTGTAATGCTATTTAAACTATTTGGTGTACCAACCATTAATCTGTCACAACCAAGTGCTAAACGATGAGGTCTCTATTCCAGCAGGCAGAAAATACCATGCAGATTAAGACCACTACTGCCCAACACTCATAATATATTTGTGGGGAAATTTTGTTCCAAGTTATCTGCAAAGCTACTCTTCACTGACTTTTAGAAATCTCCAGAGAAAATAACAGTAGTGGCTAGAGAGAGGACTTGGCGTTCATGAGCACTCACTGTCCTTGCAGGAGAGTCAGGTTAAACTCCAGCATCCACATGGCGAGTCACAACCATTTGTAAGGCCAATTTCAGGGGGACCTGATGCCCCCCTCCAGCTGCCACAGGCCCCAGCTCTGCACACATCAAGAGCACATATGTGGAGAGAGGCAACACATTCATACACTTAAGATAAAATCAAATGTTTTTAAAACAGCATTACCTGTTATATTATGGTTAATTATTATAAATAGGGAGGAAGCCTAGAAAATTATATCAACCAAAAAAAAAAAAAAAGTAGGATATGATGTACGAAGAAGGGTTTCTAGTAATATTTTCCTCTACACCATTCTCTTAAAACAGTGTTCTTGGCCATGTAAAGTAAAGAATTTATGAAGTTTGATGTCCAAGTAGGCTAACACTTTGATTTTCCTATTAGCAAAAATATGTATTTTATTTACTTGTTTGTATAAACTCAGACTTTTTTTTACAATAAAATGAGCACAACTTCAAACCTAAGTCTGATTATTTCCTATCTAAATCATAGACTTGAGAAGTCCTTTCTCAACATTTCACATTTACGCAGTTATACACACATCTATGACCGTGGCAGCTTTAAGCCTTTTTCTTTTGATTAAGTACACAGCACAACACAAGTTTTGAATACAGCTATTAAGGAGAAATGTTTTATCTCGTAAATAACAAAATTTATTGCAAAATTTTTCATTACATTCATTCAAGAATGTAGTAACACACTGAATTCTTGTATGATAATCAGGAAATCTTATCAGCTACGGAGAAGATGGTGATTTGAGTGAGAAGGCCCCAGAGGCTTGAATACTTGGTCCCTAGATCGTGGCACTGTTTGGGAAGGATTGGGGGGTTTGGCCTGTTAGAGGGCTCGGTAGCTGGGGGTGGGCTTTGATGTTTAGAAAGTCCACACCAGGCCTATTCTTTCTCTCTCTGTCTCCAACTTGCAGATCAGGACATAAACTCACAGCCACTGCTCCAGGGATATGCCTGCCTGCTTCTAGCTATGATGGCCATGGAGAGACCCTCTGAAACTGTAAGCAATAGCCCTGTTAAATGCTTCATTTTATAAGTTGTCTTGGTCACGGAGTCTCTTCACAACAATAGAAAAGTAACTAAGACAAAGGTGATTCAGTAGTTGGCACTTGCATAGGGAAAAACTAGCTCATGGGGCATAATGTTACATTCTGAACACTTGAAAAATTCTTTTGAAGTCTTCTCATGTTTCTGTGGTTTTTTTGTTTTGTTTTGTTTGTTTGTTTGTTTAACGATGTGGTTTGGAGCAACAGTTTTCAAAGCATGTCTGTATAGTAATGTGTTGGTGTGTAGTGAAAGCTCAGTATGCGTAGCATGTACTTTTCTTATTACCGTGACCAGTTTGTGACAAGAAGCTACTAAGCGAAGGAAAGGGCTGCTTTGTCTTCCAGTTTGAAGGGATGCAGTCCATCACGGAGAGCATGGTGGCAGGCCCTCCATGGTGCCCACATGTGGAGTGGGACTCCTCACAACCTGGACGAACAGGAAGCAGAGAGAAGGTAGATAATGGGGCTAGGTTGTGAGATCTCAAGGCCTGTCCCCAGTCATCCTCTTCTTTTAGTGAATCTCCATGTTTTACAGGTCCAAGACTTTACAAGTCTGCAACACTACCTGGGGGTTGGTGGCACTGCTCAAATGCAGGGGCCTGTGGGAACATTTCATTCTTAACTAGCTGCTTCATTCAACAGTAGTGAAAGACTGTTATTTATTGCCAGTAGGAGATTGATACACAGTACGTTAATGCCCTTATCTGCTCCTTCCTGTCTATTTCTTGGTCTGAATAATGAAAGCTATCTCTCCATGTGGACACTCCTTCCCACATTTCTCTTTCAGTTAACAGTGGGGTTCTATTTTTTTATGGCAACTTGACACTAGCGGGAGTCATCTGAGAAGAGGGACTCTCAATGGAGAAAATGTTTGTATAAAATCAGGTGTACGTAGGCCTACAGGACATGTTCTTAATTAGTGATTGACGGGGTTGGGAGCTGCCCATTGTGGGTGATACAACCTCTGGGCTGGTGATCCTGAGTTCTATGAAAAAGCAGGGTGAGACAGCCAGGAAGCAGCACTCCTCTGTGGCCTTGGCACTAGCTCCTGCCTCCAAGTTCCTCCCTACTTCCTTCAGAGGAACTGTGCTGTAGAAGTGCAACAAATATAAACCCTTTCTTCCCCAAGTTGCTTTTGGTTATGCTGTTGCATCACAACAATAGTTACCATTAGACAGGCAGCTTTTTTCTTACGAGCCGTCTACCGTGGGTAACCTAGAAGCTTATCCTGCCCTTCTGCATCCATCCTTGGGCGCTGTCTAGAACAATGCCCCCTTCAGAATCTCAGGATTCAAAACTTTATCCTTTGTGAATTTCATACATGAAAATGGTGAAATATGATCAGAACAAGTCCCTTCCTTCCCTTGCCAGCTGTGTAGTTTTGAACAGGTTTCCGGGTGATTTTAAACCTTAGTCTTCTATTTTTTGAAGAGATAATAGGGCTTCGTGGTAGAGTGTTCTATATGTATGAAGTTCAATTCCCAGTACCTATACTAATACAGTATATATAGATGTATATACATATATATCTATATATACATATATATCTATATATACACTAGGTGAGTATATATACATACATATAGACATATGTAAGTTCACACTGAACATAGGCTAGCTGTTATTTCAATCTTACCACTATTAGCTAGGGTAAATATCCTCTCCCTCCCCCTTTCCTCCCCTTCCTCCCTCCTTTCCTTCCTCCTTTCTTACCTCTCCCACCTTCCCCTTTTCTAAGACAGGGTCTCTGTATCCAGGGTGGCCTCAAGCTCTATGTAGTTGAGGAGGCCTTGATTGCCTTCCTGATTCTTGTTCCTCAATCTCCCAACCCCCAAATGCTGGGATTACAGGGTACCACATCTGGTACAGCTGTCCATTTTCTAAGTCAAATCTGGAGAAAAGGTATCATTTCGATGGCATATTTGGCAGCAAAATTAAGCAATACTTAATGAGAGTAAAATGTTTTTATCCTCCTATAGTACATCGGTTTTAATTTTCATGGTAAAACTATTGGACATAGTGCTTAGGTTCAGCTGATGAGTGAAATACCTTTGAGATATAGTGTGCTGTCTTTGTTAGCTGGCCTACGTCACACATTGCCACAGTAGACTTTAAAAGTGTGGTTTAGGGTTTGGGCATTAAGGTCAGTGGCGCCTAGCAAGCACAAGGCCGCAGGAGACACACACACACACACACACACACACACACGAATGAGATCACTAAGGTTTGGGGCTCCAGTGCATACTGCCGAGAGCAAAACGCAATCAATAAACAAAATGAAACTGTATCTGCATTCTAGAAACACGCTGCTGGACATTGCGCACCCGCAATGCTTTCTGCCTCCCTGAGCAAGGGGTGGCGTGGAAGTTAGGGAGTTTGCAGGTAATGCGCTGTGCGGTTCATTAACTTTTCATTGAGTGTGCACACGTGCATTCAGACAGCAGCCTGAACAACTGCGACGTTTTCTTTCTTCCCCAAAAGACGTGTGCTGATGAACAGAAGGGGAAAAAAATCTCAAATCTATCTTTGCAGCAGATCCTTCGCTCAGATCCTCCTCTCGCCAGGAGCTCCTCCCCTTCGCCAGCCCCGCCCACTCCCATCCACAGCCGAGAACCGGCGCCGCTGCGGCTTTTTGTCCCACGCGGCGACCCGTCCACCCGACGGTTGTGCGGCCGCCATGGAGGCCGGTGGGCCCTGAGGGGAGGCCGGGCCCCGCCGGCGGCCTGCAGTTACGAGAGGCGGAGGCCGCGAGCACGCAGCGGGGGAGGCGGCTGCGAGGCGGGTCGCTGCGGGAGGCTCGGCGCTCCGGGAGTGCCGCGGCCGCCGGGCCGCCGCGCCCGGCCGCGGCCCCGGCCCCGGCTCCAGACATGGCGGGCGGGCACTGCGGCAGCTTCGCCGCGGCGGCGGCCAGCAGCGGGGAGATCGTGCAGCTGAACGTGGGGGGGACCAGGTGAGCCCGCGGCCGCGCGGGGAAGTGGGGCGGCGCACCTGCGGGGGCGGCGCGTGCAAGCGCAGGCGGAGCGCAGGCTGCAGCGGGCAGCGTCTGCACCTCCAGCCGGGCACCCGGTAGGCAGGGTGGCATCTGCACGGCCAGGCGGGGTACCCGCGGCGGGCAGGGGCGCGTTTGCATGGTCCAGGCAGCCCTGCGCATTCCTCAGAGCGTGGTCCCAGGTCGAAAGCGTAGCCTTAGACTCTGTCTTTACTTCTCCGGCTACCTGGGGTGTCAGGCCACAGGAGCAGAGTTGGCCTGTTGGGCTTGTCTGAGCGAGTGACTCAGGGCCTCCGCCTGCTAGGCAAGCGTGCTGACACTGAGCTGCCAGCATTCCAGCAGGTTGTAGTCTATGGTAAAGCCTGGTCTAGGGCTTGAGCTGTTGCCTGGGAGCGGGCCTCCCTTTCTGTAGGTTCACGTAGCTGTGGATTTAGATTCTGCAAGGTGCATCTTTGAAAGCCTGCTTCAGTCAGGACTGTAATGCAAACATGGGTACAGGGAGCAGGGTAGATCAGCATCGCCGTTTATTTCCAGCGTCTCTTGCTGCATGGACACGAAGGGTGTTCACTTGTAGAGGAGTGTGTCTAGAAACAGGCTTGTGAATATCGTAGGTGTTGGCAAGGAGGAAACCGGCTGAACTCTCTCCTTTATCTTCTCTTAGGCTTTCTGCCCCCATTCTGTTGGCACAACACACAAAAACCTGCACCCGTTTTTGCATTTGCCGTGACTTTACACATCACTCTTCTCAGAAGAGTACCAGCACTAGCTGTGGGAAGCTTGGGGTTAAGGCAGGGAGTAGGGTGCTCTGGGACACAGGCTGCGTTGCCGTCCCAGGAAGATGTTTTTAATGTCTGAGACTTTAGGCATGTTAACACTTTTGATTATTTAAAAACCATAAATCAACAGAAAACACAGTGCAGTGGCTCTCTGGGGCTAGAGAACTTGGAATGGTCTTCACGCTCTATCATCTCTCCCTCACTCCCAAAGCAAAGTTTTAACAGTTGGAGAAGTTTCACCTCTACTGCTTTGTATACATACCAGGTCATATACAAATAACCTCTACTACATTCTGTACATACCAGATCATGTGCAAATGACCTCATCTCCTAATGTAAAAAGTGTGGCTTCTCCACCCACATAAAATTACATGAAAATGTTGTAAGTACCTCGGTATGGGAAAGTGAAATACTACACAAAAAATGTGCAGTTTTAGTACAGAGAAGGATCGTAATGGTGTAACTCTTGACATGGTTTCTAACATCTGTGGGTGGCTGACATACTTCTTTTCAGGCATTCTAAAGAATATAGTGTTAGGAGACAAACTAAGTTACATTGTTATTTTTTTAAAAGGTCGCTTTGTTTTGTCTCAATTACGTGTGTGTTTGCAGGTGCAGGTGGAGGCCAAAGGCTCCCTTAGAGCTGGAGTTGCAGGTGTTGTGAGTTTTGTTGTGAACCACCTGACATGAGTGTAGGGAATTGAACTCTGGTCCTCTTCAAGAGTGGCACGTTCCTAACTACCAAGCCATCTCTTCAGTCCTTACATTGTTATTTTTTGTATAATGGAGATGGATGTGGCCAGCAGATGGCCAGGATGAAAAAGCACTTAACAAAACAAGCCTGGGAACTGAGGAAGGAGAAAACTGAATCCACGAGCAGACGGTGGCGTGCATTCCATGGCGCCTGCGTCAGTAACAGAGCACGAAATAATAATAAAGACAGTGGATGTCTTAAGGAGGGAGCTGACTTGATAGGGGCCCATTGGTGGACACTTTTGGAAACAAACTGCTTTCTTTCTGCACACAGCAGGCCTTCCCTCTAAGTTGCACCCTTGGGCAAGTTACTTTGTATTAGTCAGTTTCCTGAAACAGTTATGATAGTGCCATTCTCATGGACTTACAGAAGAACTTGAAATAAACGTGAAATGTGAGGGTTAGTAGCATTATCATAGTAATATTTCATAGCAAATAATTTGACTTGGGTTGCTTCATATTTTCAGATTGTAGCAAGCCACTAGAGTGGAGTATGAACGGATATGCTAATTTTTTAAGTTATCTTTTTATGTGTTTATCATCCACCCATCTATCCATCCTTGGCACTTCAGATAGGAGATAAAAACAAAACAGAAAAGGCTTTTCTGTATATGTAAAAAAGAATTATGCTAATCATATATAGAAGTTTTCTAATCTCTTTGCCCAGAAGTTTCAGATTTGTGGTGAGGGCTTGATACTGGTTCACTATATAGTGCAGGTGACCCTCATACTACCTGTGACCATCTCCACTATTGAGTGCTGAGACTACAGTCGTGTACCAGCATACCTACTGGGACATTGATTTTAAGCAGGCCTGTGTACGTTACGGCTTCCTGAAAGGGGGGACCTGGAGTGTCAGAAGTTACTAACTGTCCATGTTTGTTTTGTTGCTGTGACACACACTGACAAAAAAACTTGAAGAGATGTTTTATTTGGGTCCATTGCAGTGCAGAAGCAGAGTGATGAATGCTCCTTTGCTTTTTATCCAGTCTTTTAGTCCAGACCCAGTAAGCAGCATTGCTGCAAAGTCGCTGCTTCAGTTCCCGCCTACAGATTCCCGCCGTGAGATCCTGAACCCCAGCCAACCGAATGTTGCTGGTTGGTTCTATTTTCTATTGTTTTTTTGTCAGTTTGACCTATGTGAGGGCTAGAGAACTTCTGTTGAGGAAATACCTCCTTAAGATTGGTCTGTAGGTAAACCTTGCGGACATTTCCCTGATTAACAACTAATGAGGGAAGGCTCCGCCCACCGTGTGGTGACTCTTGGGCATGTGGTCCTGGGTTGCACAGAATAGCGAGCTGAGCAAGCCACGGGGAAGGTTTCCTTCATCTAACTGATACAGGAAGGCCCAGCATGCTGTGGGTGGGACCACGCTAGGCAGGCAGGCCTGGCCTGTATCAGAAAAGTGGCTGAGGAAGCCAAAGAAAAGGGAGCTGGTAAGCAGCACTACTCCATGGTCTCTGTTTCAGTTCCTGTCTCTAGGTTCCTGTCTCCAGTTCCTGCCTTGGCCTTCTTCAGTGGTAGACTGAGATCTATAAGCCAAATAAACCCTTTCTTCCCAGGTTGGTTTTGGTCAGTGTTTTATTACAGCAGCAGAAAGCAAAGGTTGATAGATCTTCCTGCTTATTTAATGTAGGGACTCATTCACAGACACTCCAAAGTGTTGTTTCCATGGTGATCCTAGACAGTCAAGATTAACTACTCTCCCATCATTACTTAAAGTTATCTAATGCCTTCTGAAAATGAAGTCTTTCTGTGGATGCCTCCATTTACCATTGACTTTTTTTTTTTTTTAAATCAAGTTAAGTTTCCTGTGACTAGTAATAACTTAATGTTCTACTGAAGAGTTTGCTAAGAAATGCCTTTAGGGAAAATTGCTATGTTTTCTTGAGTACCTGTTTGTTGAACTCCCTCCTATTTGTTTATATCTTCATATATGCATGTATACATGGATGTATTTGAGACAAAGCTCACAAGCTTTGAATTTGCTGTGTATCCCAGGCTGGCATGGAGTTCACTCTCCTGCTTTAGCCTCTGGAGTAGTGGAATTACAGGCGTGTACCACCCAGCCTAGTTTTAGGTCCTGTCTAAGTCAGTTTGATGAGCATAGCACTTGCTTGACAACAGTTAGGTTATTTATAACCTGTGAAACTAGTTGTGAGTTAGCATCCCTACGTCTCTATACGATCTCATATATATGTGTGTTCACATATATAAACATATATAGTTAGATATAAGAAATGAATTAGTTGGGGCTGGTTCAGTGGGTGAGAGCATTTGCTGCTCTTGCAGGAGGACAGTTTTTTTGAATCCTAACACCCACATGGTGGTTTCACAACTGTCTGAAACTTCAGTCCTAGGGGAATCTGATGACCTTCCCTCTGTGGGCACCAGACACGCACATGGTACACATACATACGTGTAGGCAAAACACCCATGCACATAATAAATGCAACTTTAAAACAACAATTATTTCTGTCTCTCCCTTACTAGGTCAGTTTTCCTTACAGATTATAAATTTGAATGGAGGAAGCCAAGTTAATTTTTTCCCTCTGATTAGGAAGCATGCTGTGAGATAAGCAGGCCTTAGCAGACGTTTCTCACAAGGGAGCTTGTGCTTTCTCTACTGCCACTGACATTAGGTGACAAGGCCTGCCATGCCAGTGGCCATGTGGACTGCTTGGTGATGTGTTTTTCAATACTTGCTGCATACCGAAATGTGTTGTAACCACGTAAAGCCACAGATTGTCCACAGAAACCAGTGTCTGTTTGTACAGAACACGGAGCTGCATAGAGTGTGCACTTGATTAGAGTGTACTCTGCTTCAGAGTAGCTTGTGGGTCTGTGCTGGTGCCAGGCCAAACACTGCTACCCACCCTTAAAACAGTGCATAGGGGTGTGTGTGTGTAAAACTCCTAAAAGCAATTTCAAAAGCTGTGCAGTTGTTAAGGAGCACTCATTTATCAAGAGATGAAATGTCTTTAGCCTTTGCTGACTCAGTGCTTAGGTGTGGGCTTGGCCTGCAGTCCACTGACTTTTTGCGAAAGTAAATGAAGGAAGGGAAGTTTGGATGGTGGACTTGGATGAACAAAGAATGTACAGTACTCAATTTTAATCATAACTTGGAAATGTCCCAGCAATGCTACATAGAGAGTGCCAGACACATAATTTATATGTGTTACTCGTTGCTCAGAAGGAGGGCATCCAGGTCAGATGTCTGCAAAAGCTGTTGTGGGTTCGGTAACTAGTGGCTTCAGCAGAGATGGATACAACTTGGATTGTTGGACATGAACCAGGTGATTGAGCTGGGCTGAAGACACGAGAGGTGGAACTGAACGTTGACAGAACAGTGGCCAAAGATCTGTAAGGAGCACAGACTAAAAAGTTGGGTTTCAGGAAGCAATGCGTTTGATTTTGCTAAGCTTCTTATGAAAATCCTAACTCTGCAAAGTAGTGAAATTTAAAGTAGTAAACATGGTAAATATAATTGATTCAGGTGTAATCGTTCATCGCCTGTGATCATTGCTGCCTCATTGTTCTCATTTATAACGCAAGATGATTTCAATTGCAGATTCAGTACCTCAAGGCAGACTCTCATGTGGATTCCAGATTCCTTTTTTTCCAGGTAATTTATGTAATACTTTGTTATCATTACTTACCAAAATATGAAAAATTTCCTTATTAGTTAAATTAAGATTTTTAAAAATATTTTAAATTAGAAATGTTACCGTTTTTGTATGGGTTTTGAAGGGTTTTGCTATTTAGCCTGGTCTGGCCTTGAACTCCTGTTCCTCCTGCCTCAGCCTTTTAAAGAGTTACAGGCATATACTCCATACCTGATGAAATTGAGATTTTTTTTTTAAGTTGGGAACAGAAAATTTTGCTTGAATTGGCTTTGACATTTGGTAAGGAAGCTGTTTATGTTCAGATTTTTCTAACTAACTCTAGCTTATTTTAATGGTTCCTAGTTTGCTGAGTGGAAGAATTTCAACACTTCGAGATGAAACTGGTGCTGTGAGTATAATGATGTTATATTTCTAAATTCAACCAACAAATGCTTTTAATTGTTAGTGTTTCGTAGCAGGAAAGCTCATATTTTAGTAAATGCAAGTTTACTGTGGCTTTTTAAAAACAATTGCCACATACAGTGTTTCTAAACTGGAAAGAGACCCCTTAAGTAGAAATTATTGTCTATATCAATTGGAGATGTCTCTGATTAGATTGTAGGATGTAGCTAAGTTTCTTAGTAATTGCAACTTTAATAGTCAGTAAATATAAGTAATATTTTTGTATTATAATGGTACAGGGTGACCGGTGAGTGAAGTCCTACAGTTTCTATGAACCTATGATACAATATCACAGAAAGAAGGCCTGTCAGGGTTAGACCAAGAAGGTGGCTCGTGCGCTTAGAAAATTGTCACAGGCGCAATTGTTCAGGTGACTAGAGACTAATGAGAGTGACAGCTCACAGAAGTAGTTTGAAGTTACTTTATTTGATGAGATTTGTAGGCAAAATAAGACAGCAAAGCAGATGTACCTGCATTAAATTATTTTAGTGAGAAATTGAATTAAAAACCCAGTACGTCGCCTTCCCGCTGCGAGCATCTTTCTCCGGTGCATTCTGTGGTCCTGTCCTCCTCCTTCCGAGCCCTTGAAGCAGAGATGGAGAGGTGTCAGTTAGGCCGGCGGATGGCCCGCCCTGCTCCAGGTCACAGCCGTGGCAGCACTGACCGGCTGCATGGTTGCTGTACAGCGTGGCCTTCATGGCTCACAGGGGTCACGCAGGCTGCTGCAGTAGCATGAGGGTCATGTGTGTGGTTCTTAAAGTGTTGGTGTCTCCCCTGACCCCCAGACATTATCAGTAATTAGAATTGAAAACACACAACCACAGCTATACCACTTCAGTTTCAGAAGCACGAAATCAAGGGAGTGTAAGTCATTCAGTCCTGTGACTTGGTGGTGTCTCAGGTACTTGGGGAGGGGGGTCATTAATTTTGACTTGATAATAAAACAGCTCTTCACTTGCAGATATTTATTGATAGGGACCCGGCAGCGTTTGCCCCCATTTTAAATTTTCTTCGGACGAAAGAACTCGACTTAAGGTAGGAGACTCGTCTTTCTGAGGCCTTGTTGGCAGCCAGTGTTTGGCCTGTTAGAGTACCCTGCCTGCCAAGGCTGCTTTGTAGTTGGTGTACTCACCGTGGTGGCACTCGAGTTAACAGTTACTAAACACAGGTGTCTGCTGGGTGGCAGTCAGTCATGGCAGGGCCATCACTTCCTCATCGTCTCCTGGGGTGACACTGTTTCTGGTGCTGGGAACCTTCTGATGCTGCTTGAGTTACCGTGAGTGTGGCGCTGATTGTGGACTACAACGCAGCTGTGCCGTGTGGCCCTGACTCCCCACCTGTGTGCCATTACCTGCTTCTTTCTGCTCCCCCCAGCCCACCCTTGCAGCCTCCAAGCACCTGGGCAGTTCCTTGCCTTGCATCCCCGAGTTGCATTTCAGTACTGCAGCTAAGGCAGTGTGAAGGTGGCGGGCTGCTCTGCCGAGAGCACAGCCGCTGTTGTGGACTGACGGCTGATGGCTGGGTTTGCTTGGCTGTCTGTCTTCTGCGGGCTTCATTTCCCTCACGGTCCTGTCCCCTCTCTATTTCTGTTGTGTCTGCCTAAGGCTGTGTTTGCACTTCCTGGCTGTCAGTGATCCATTTGCTCTTGCTTTATGTACTTACCTTCTTCAGCAGACCTCAACTTTAGAAGAACTTTCCCATAAGTCTGTGGATTATGAAAGATAATTTAAACCATATCTTTGGATTTGCCATCTTGAACTGCAGGTTGTGTTATCAGGAAGCTTTAATGAGTAATGAATTTTTAAAAAGTTTCATTATTTCTTTCAAACTTTCATGAAGGCTCTGAATTTGTTTTTTAAGTACAATTTTTAGGACTGTGGGATTGCCTTTAGCTGCTTATTTACTTAATTTTGGTTCATGCTCACTGAAGATGTGCTCTTTGCAGATGAAGTTGTTTATTCATTCATTTTGGTCTGTTTTGTTCCCTACTGTGTTCCCAGTGCTAAAACACATGATGTATGCAAGCCGGTGTTTAGCAAATCAGTAAAGAGCATTGGGGTGTGCTTGATGTGGTTTTTCATCTGGGCCTGGAATGGATGAGAGGTGGGCAGTCAGCTTCTGGAGTGAGATTGCTTTCATGCTCCTCAGTTAATTCAGAAGTCTGTCTGCTCGTGACTGACCCACAGTCACATACGTAAGGAAAGGCCTGCTGCTCACCTGTCTTCATAGCAGCTAGTACCTTTGGTTACTTCAAGAGGCCTAGCAAATTTAAGTTTTATGCGTGGCTTCTTTTCAGAAGAAGGGAAGGAATTTATAAACAATTGTTTTTACCGTGTTTCTTGCAAAACATTTTGTATTGCCGTTCCGTGAATTACGAATTTGTCTCCCAGCATGTCCTGGGTGAACAAGGAGCCTGCAGCAATGACAGGAGTCTAGTGTTTGTCCTGAGCCCTTCCTTGTCCTGGGCTTTTGTCACTGTGCCATTGGCTTTTGGTTTTAAAGGGGACCTAAGAAGTTTCCATCATTCTTTGTTTTGTGTTTGTTTTCTTCATCTGGATTCAAAGTCCTTGCTACCTTTCGAGATCCAAATTTGAATTTATTTTACCAACAAGCATATTGCAAGGTGTATCATTGAGCACTGTACGAGGCACCGTGGAAGAGATATAAAACAGTCAGAAGATGAAGCTTGCAGTGTAGTGGGGAAGGTTAAGTACAAATAAAATTGTGGTTCCTGTGAGAGAACAGTTTCCTTTTTTTTTTTTTCTCTTGATAATTCATTTGTATTAGCCCTCAAATCCTTACTCACACAAATCATCCAAATGTGTATGGTTTTTAAGAAGGTAGCAAAATGTTCTCATTTTAAAGCTTTATTGTTGTTTTGTGTGTAGACTGCTTTGTCCAACATATGTCTGACCATGTGCATACAGTGCCCTGAGAGTCGGAAGAGGGAGGTGGATCCCCTGGAACTGGAGTGCTGGTGGAATGCGCTTCCCTTGGGGTCCTGGGAGGAACCTGTGCGCTCTGGAAGAGCAGTGCACACTCTTAACCACTGAGCTGTCTCTTCAGCCCCAGCATGGTGCTCTGTTCCATGTGGCATTCTTTAGACTTTGAGGTGATGATGGTGTGAGGAGACGTGTGAGCAAAGCAGGGTTTGAGCTTGATGGCCTGGCCCCTTTGTCTCAGGTCTCAGGTTCGAGCTCACAGCCTTTGTTCGTTTTTCTGCAGGGGAGTGAGCATCAGTGTTCTCAGACACGAAGCGGAATTTTATGGGATCACTCCGCTAGGTACGTGTTGACCTCCCAGCCCCTGTGTACAGGGTATCTTCCATCAGGTCCTCTTGAGAGAAGACGTCAGTGCTCAGTGTTTCACAGTGAGACCATGTCAGTTGTGAGCTACTAAGGCATTTCTCCTTTCTCTTCTCACCGTCCTTAACTAGAGAAGGTGGAGCAGGTCTGTGTTTGCACGTCCCCCTGACACGCTTGCCTTGACCGTTACAGTGCGAAGGCTGCTACTGTGTGAGGAGCTGGAGCGGTCGTCCTGCGGCAGTGTTCTATTCCATGGCTACTTGCCCCCACCAGGTACTGTAGCTCAGGTGCCTTCAGGCTTTAGACGGTTCTTTTTGTCACTGAGCAAACCAGAGAAACTCCCTTGCTTATTTGAGTTTCCATAAATCTGGACCTTATGGACCATGCCCTTTCATGAGAGTGAAGTCACATGGTACATAGAGCAGCAGTTGGCACCTTCTTCTGTAGGGGCAGAAGATCTCCATGGCAGCCAGCAGCTGCTGTGGACACCGTGGTACCCCGAGGACTCACACCCCGGGAGCTCTGCACTGTTGGGTCACTCTCCCCTCACTTAGGAGTCAGGCCTTTCCCTGTGTAGCACTGTGCTTCTGAGAGAGGTACTGCTTTTGAAAAGGTCCTGTCTAAAGTAGGAGGAAATTCAGTTCTTAGGCAGGTGAATTTGGACATAATTGGGATGGCATGTGATGACCATAAGCTAAAGACCAGCTCAGACTGGATGGATTGATTGCTCAGTACCCTGAAGCTGGGGGACAGGGCGTAAAATATAAGCCTTCTTTCATTGGCTTTGAATAGTAAAAATAGCAGCAACGGCTTGGATTGTATCTTTCTTTTTTTTTTTTTTGAGACAGGGCTTCCCTGTTGAATAGACCTGGCTGTCCTAGACTGGCTTTGTAGACTAGGCTGGCCTCAGACTCAAAGATATCTACCTGCCTCTGCCTCCCAAGTGCAGGGATTAAAGGTGTGTGCTATCACACCTGGTTACAATATGATTTTTTTTTTTTTTAATGTTTGTAAGGGTAAAAGATAAATTTGTTTCTTCTCCTTTGCAGGCATTCCCAGTCGTAAAATAACTAACACAGCTACATCTTCTGCCGACACTAGGAATGGGCTAAATTCTACAGAAGGCGAAGCCCGGGGAAATGGGACGCAGCCCGTGCTCTCTGGAAATGGAGAAGAGACTGTTAGGCTGGGTAAGCAAGGTTCAGGGCACAGAAGAGGAAGGCACATGCCTGGGTCTCAGTGACAGGCGCCGTGAGCTTGAATATTACTTTTTTGCCACACACACACACACACACACACACTCACACACTCTTATGGTGCTGTATGTTGAACCTATGACTATAGTACTGAGTGCTGTAGTTAGTGCCATGCCATACCCCACCTCTTTGTTTTTGTTTTAAATCCAGATTCATCATTTATATTTTGGAAAATTTCATTTAACACACCTTTTTACTTGAAGTGTAATATGTTCTGGTTTTGTTTTCTTTCTGTTTTTGTTTTTAGAGCAGTTGATACACTTTCTGTTGAGAGCTAGCTAGCAAGTTCACATTTTAGGCTCCTGGCCCTTGTGGCATCTGTTGGAACTGCTTCTACTTAACTTTGCCTCTGTCTGGAAAAGGCATGATCCATAATATATGAGCCATGAGTGTGCTCTGCTCTGACCACGCTTAATCCAGACAGGCAGAAGCAGGGAATGGCTGCAGAACCAGACTTTCTAACTCAGTATAAAATGGAAATGATTGTCTTTAAAACCTACAGGATTTCCGGTGGATCCCAGAAAGGTGCTAATAGTTGCTGGCCACCACAACTGGATTGTAGCTGCCTATGCTCATTTTGCTGTGTGTTACAGGTACCACTTCCTTGACCGTCACTTAGTTTCATTTTAAATGATTATATTTTATATTTAGGTTGAATATCTGTTTCTGCATGTTCCTGCATGTCTCACCCACTTCCCCTGGTTCCTTGCTCTCCACTTGAGAATGTGATGCTGACAGCTTTAACAGTTTGTTTCTCAGACGGTGGCAACCACGCAGCTGAGGGGTGTTACTGCTCTGCCTCACTAGCTGCTCACACTCGGGCTGTTGCTCAGGATTTAGTATGAGCTGTCGTTTCTCCTTGATGATGAGCTGTGCTGCGCAGGGCCTCTGCACTGTCGCCGTTGCCACACCGTTGGCACTGCTCTGCTGGCAGTCGGTGAAGTGAGGTGGGACGGTGTGTGCAGCTGAGTGTCTGCAGTGTGCGGAGTTTTACTTAGCTGGCTTAGACGGAAAGGCCGAGAGGAGTGCAGAGTCCAGGCTGAGTTTGCTTGGTTTTAACCATGGAATGTTAGCTGTGCCCTGAGAGCTGCATGGGCTGCGGGCTGCAATGCTGGTATGCAGTGGCAGAGAGGTAGACGGCAGCCAGAGTTGATCCCCTCAGCAGGAGCCATCCAGTTTTGTTGTTGGAAAGTCAGGGAAGTTATACTTTTTTTTTTTCACTGTTTTGGTCACTTTTGGTTAAGAAAAAAATCAGTAGCTGAAGTTGGTTAAAAGTTTGAAAACCCCTCAGGAGTTCCCTGTCCTGTTAAAAGTACTCAAAAAGTGTGCCATGCAGGGTTGCCTCTGCACGGAGCTGGAGCTGCCCGCTGCTTGCTTGGCCTAGACTTGTCGGCAGTAGTGATCAGGTCAGGTGTTCTGAGTGCTATGCGGGTTTTTAATTTAGTTACTGAAGAGTATAGAAATGAGCTTCGCTATTTTTTCCTGTAGATGGCTCTTATGTATCATGAGACATTTTTAAGAGTTGTTTTAGATTTACCATGCCTGAGTCTTAAGTTGAAAGGGCCTGTAGACAGCAGTCTGGTGGTTTTGTCCAGGCGTACATTTGATGCCTGGCAAGGATTCCAGGAACTTGTGGGGTTGCTACTTGATGTGGTGGCTCTGCGTGTAACGGTGCTACAGTGTCACTTGTCACGTGTTGATGGGAACCCCACAGGAGGAGGGATGGGCGCAGGAAGAGTGACCGCCCGTGTCACAGCTCTTACTGCTTTTGATGGTGGTCTCTCTCTGCTTCGGCTGGCGACTTGGCAGGGTGGGGATGAAAGGCAAGCATGCTGACTTTCCTACAAACTCTGCCATGAAGCAGACTGACAATACACAGACTTCAAAAGAAATTTCATAGTGCTTCAACATAGTAGCCTTTCTACAAGATACTTCTCTTCACAGTTCAAAGCCCTAAAGCAGAGTGGTGTGGTAGTCACTGTTTGCTTTCCTATAGGCCACTGACTTCCGTGTGTTTGCTCTTTAGTTTTGTGTCCCGTTTTCTTCCTAAGTTTGATGGTCATTGAATTAAAGAAGAACCCATGTAAATTGCCACCATCCTTCATGTGGACTCCATTTTAGATCCTTAATCTGGGAGAAATTTCCTTTGTTGTAGATAAGATGCAATTTAAGAATGTGTTTTGCTTTCTTCCAAGTGAATAACTCATTAGCTTAAAACATTTATCCTGTAAGCCTGCTTCCTCCTGAGTGTGAAGCCCTGCCCGTGTGTGTGTGTGTGTGTGTGTGTGTGTGTGTGTGTGTGTGTCTATATGTGTACATATGTCTGTGTGCATGGGTGTGTATTTGGGTATGTTGAACTCTTATATGCTTATCACATTTAATATGCTCATGTCATTTGAGGAGCATGTTTGCGGTAAGTTCCATACTTAATGAATCTTGAGCTTTTACTGTGGAAAGTACGGTACTGTCTGCGCTGCTGTGCTGACTCCAGAGGTGGCAGTGAAAAGGTGGAGTATCACTGTGCTTTGTGTCATTTTATGGAACGTAAGCTTTATTCACCTCCATGGAAGATTATACAGCTGTAGATTTCTTTGCATGCATTTCAGTTTGGAAACCCAAGTTCACGTGCCTGAGTTGTGTGATGGAGCAGTCATGCTGCCCAGATCATAGCTGTTGAAGCCTGTGAGGTCGTCACTGCAGTAAACTGGGAACTAAGAAGTGTGCTCTCTGGGCACGTGTTGTTTGTGCCCCTGCATCTTTACTGACAAGATCACAGCCTCCTTTCAGAATTGAGTTCACCAGCGTGCCTGCTGCGTTCTTTTGAGCAGCACTGTCTCCACATCCACACGGCATGCGCCATTAGTCTTGAAGTGTGTCCTGCGTTGTGCCTAAAAGTCTGTATTTTGTTCTTCAGTAGTCAGTTTTAGAGTTTAATTGAGTAGTTTCGTGTTTATCTTACTACATCACTCCCATCTGGTGGCCAAAAAGGGTAATACAGACATTAAAATGCTTGAGAAAAATTGACAAATTTTGCTCTCTATTGCTTTGAAGCAATAATTAATTGCACATAGATATATGAACACTAATTGTCAGTTAAGGCCTCCTTTTATATTTTGTGAGTCGTATTACTTGAGCACACATATTTAAATGCAAACAGTGGCCCATGCCTGTGCATGTGCTAATTAAGTAGCCCGTGTTCTAGCAATGGCCATCCTGGTTAGCTTCACTGTGTGCAAAGTGTAAAAGGCAGCTTTGTCTGTTCTGCTAGACAGAACCAAGGCGGTGCTTTTGCTGACTCAGTCATCATGACCGTATATCAGATTGTAACGCTGGGGACTCGCTATGCAATCACACAGAAGGCCTGTCTGCAAGACCCAAGTTCACGTAGGACAGATGAGTCTATTAATTGGGAGCCAGGCATACGGTTACAAGTCTATAGTCTCAGCTCTTGACTCGGGAGGATTGAGTTGGAGACCAGCCTGGGCTACACAGTAGGTTCTACTTCAGGCCAGCCTCAGGTACAAAGAAAGACCTATGTCAGATATAGACAGGGAAAGGGAGATAAAGGAAGAGAACAAAAGGGGGCATGTGCAGATACTGGAGAGGGTGAAGCATGTGCTCATGGGTCATCAGTGGCATCATGAAGTGTCGTGTTTAGAGCCGCGCAGACCAGTCTTCGGAGCAGACTCTCAGCTCCTCGTGCATTTGCTCTGAGGTGTTTGGGGTTATGATGTAAGGTCATCTGAGGTGCACACACACGTGAATGACATCAGTAATACGACTTCTCATAGGAAAAAAATACAAATTCCATATAAAATTCTGACTGCTGTTAGCTGTCATTGTCTACACAGAATGACAGTGGTGGCTGCAGTGATGTGAAAGATACAACCATCTTTTTTTCTACGACTTTAAAGCATTTTATAAAATTTAAATTCTTTGGGGAAATACGGGATCCTAGTCCTTTTTTGTGGTCATATGTCCTATGTATGTAAATGTAAGATCAGCAATAATCCTGTCTTTGTAGATGATATATCAAAAGTTACATTCATTACATATAGATAGACGGAGGGTGTGGTTTTGTTAATTGTTTGCTGTGTTGATTTCTGTTCTTTTTCTTATCTACCACATGTCTATTCTTAACAGAATCAAAGAGTCTTCAGGGTGGCAGCAAGTGTTTACAAGCCCATATCTGGACTGGACCATTGAACGAGTGGCTTTAAATGCAAAAGTGGTCGGAGGTCCTCATGGGGACAAGGACAAAATGGTGGCCGTTGCCTCAGAGAGCAGCATCATCCTGTGGAGTGTTCAGGATGGAGGAAGTGGAAGTGAAATAGGTAGGAAGACTCGTGCATCGTGCTTGGCTGTTGTCTTTGTACGTTTGTAGTTTAGGAGAGATTGGCTATAAATGTGACAACTCTCTAGGGTTGTGACACTTCTGCTAGGGCCCAGTGGCCATTGTACTACTCTGTGGGAGGATGATGAGTTAGAGGAAGGCACTGATGCTTCAGGTGGGAGCCCTGGGCTTAGTTTGTCTGATGGAGCCTGGGTGCAGACAGAAGTGGTTCCTCTCTGCTCTTCCACTCTCACTCTGAAGGCGGGTAAATGGCTCCTGTTGTCTTGCTTCTGTAGCCAATTGTATTAGACATTTTTGTTCTCGGAAACAAAGTTTAAGTTAGTGAAGACCAGACAGTGTTTGTACAGGTTGTTCTTGTTGTCATTCACCTTGTTAGACATTAAACTTGCAGTTTTTAATAATTACCAGTATAAAAATAGCAATACTAAATTCATTACGTGGTGATTCATATCATGTTAATGAAAAGAGATGTTTTCCAAAAAGAAAGTTTTTGAGACAAGTGATGTTGGTCCCAGTTTGTAGATCTCCATGATGTCTTTTAAACTTTTATTTTGTGTCTACACGTGCATGTGTGTGGTGTGTGCATGTGTACGTGTGAGCGCACATGTCCGTGTGCCCTTCTTTGGAGTCGCAGAAAGATGTGGGCTATCCTGTGCCATCCTTCTTTGCCTTATTCCCTGGAGGCAGGGTCTTTCATTGGCTGGGAGCTTGCTGGTTTTCCTGTGCTGACCAACAAACCCACTGCTGTGCTCACACTCTACCACTAAAGCTAGGTCACAGGCATGTAGGACTTTATCTCTTTTCGGTGTGTGCTGGGGATCTGAACTTGAGCCCTGGTTCATGTGTGGCGATTACAGCCACACATACAGTGATGTGCTTTGTAATTTTAAGTCTATTTCTGAATTTGCTTTGCTGTGATACATTGTTTTTATTGATGTATGCAAAGACAGGGTGGCCTGAAACAGATAAGCAATTGTTAAAACATTTTTAAAAATAATATTTTCAGATAACTGTGGCTCTGTCTCTTGAATCCTGTACCAGATTTGTGAAACGTTTCTAACTCTGCTACAGTCCACCAGCCTGTTTTGTTCTCTGAACAGTCTGTATTCCAGACCTGAATTTGAACACCTGTGTTGATCACAGGGGTATGTTGGCTTGCTGACTGAGGCAGAGTTTGTAAACACTGAAACCGCTCACTAATATGTCCAGGCCTTAGTCACACATCTGAGTCTGTGTTAGGAAGCAGTCACATTCACATCAGCTGAGAGCTTCAGAGTAATAATTTTCAATTGAAACTTTGAATCTCTGTAGCTGGCAACAAATACCATTTGATGCTTTCCTTGCATTAGGCTTGTTTTAGTTATTTTAGGGAACAGGATGCCAAATACCAAATGTCTTTTTCCACCTGCTCTCTCCTCCCTCCTTCCCTTCCTCTCTCCTAGTTTCCTCTCCGTGAGTGTCGAGGTCTTTCGGCAGGCATGCCAGACTGAATTGGAAGAACCTTATCTACATATAGCCCACCATTCCACAGCACCCTCTTTCATTTATACCGGGGGTGTCCTTCGTGAAACCCCTGTGCCACCCCCATAGCCCTGCACAGCAGCGTTCGGCCCTGTATGGTGATGGGAACACCCAGAAGCAGGAAGACAGGGCTACCTATATTTTGAGTCCCCTGCTGCCTCTTGTACAGTCCCTAAAAGTGTCACCTTTTATTTTGTCCGGTTTGCTTTAAAATGTGGAATAATTGAATATCATGTATCCTATCATGGTTGATAGGATAACCTTCCCCCTTGGGTTTGTCAGAAAACAAATTTTAACATTAAAAGCATGCTGCTGTGCTGGCCAACATTATGTCAGCTTGACACAAGCTAGAGTGATTTGGGAAGAGAGAAACTCGGTTAAGAAAATGCTTGCACCAGATGGCCTGTAGGCAAACCTATGGTGTTTTCTTGATTGACGATTGATATGAAGAATCCAGGTCACTGCAGTTGGTGCCACCCTTGTGCACGGGTCTGGAGCACTTAAGAAGCAGGCTGAGCAAGCCATGAAGAACAAGCCAGTAAGCAATGTTCCTCCGTGACCTGGGTATCAGCTCCTGCCTGCAGATTCCTGCTCCAACTTCCCGGATGTTAGACTGAAAGCTGTAAGATGAAATAAACCCTTTCCTCCCGAATTGTTTTTGGTTGTGGTGTTTATTGCAGCAATACAGGCTTGAGACGGTTGGTAAATAAACCGAAAACAAGTTAGTTGTGCGATTGTAAGTGGAGATTTCATTCCAGTTTGTTAGTTGTACGATGGTGAGTGGAGATTTCACTCCAGTTTGTTTCCAAGGCTAGCATGATGGGAGCTGTTGGAGCTGGTCCTGGAGCAGTTTGTTCATGCCCTGGAAAGGAGCTGTCTGTTGTTCCTTCGTCAGAACTTGACAGCACCATCCAGAGCACGCTGCTGGGCTGCTGGGTCCGTGATGGGTTCTCGAGAGGCTGGATGGACTCTGCCCTCTGACTCAACCAGTAGTGCGGAACTGCTTCTGTAGGCAGGCTTGTCTGAGGCCGCCTGGGCAGACCTCTTCATGGCTCCTGCTGCTGCCTGCCCTGCGGACAGTGCTCAGGATCTTGAGCCTAAGTGGGAGTGACACTTTCCATTCCTGACACCATCCACAATGTCATCTTGATTTCCCAAACCTTACCTTCTCTGGAGGAGAACCAGCTTGCTTTAATTTCTGCCGCAGGACTGAATGAAGTTGGTTTCAGTTATTTTTAAAAGTTTTCCTGCCCCAAACCCATAGTACTGCTATGTAAATAATCGTGTGTAATGTAGGATTACTACCTTCTGCATTGAAGTGCAATTTATCTTTTTACCTGTTTTGTTAAGGAGAAGTAGAGGTGGTTTTTGTCCCTCACAGCCTACTTTACTCTGTCTTGGTTGGCAGGTGTTGTAGTCATGTGTCTGTTACATAAATACGGACTTACACAGCCGCTACATGTGTAAGAGGCGATGTTCCCAGCAGGACTTCCGCTACTTCCTTCTGAGTTTTGGCTTTGTCCATTTATACCATCTTTCTTACTGCTTTATTTCTGACATTAAAAACTGTGTGAGTGGGTGTGGGGTGAGCACGTGCCCTGTCATCTGAGGTTGGGGTGCACCTTTTAGGGGTTGGTTTTCTCCAACTCATGTCGTCAGGCCAGCACTAGCTACACTTTATCTTCTGAGTTATCTCGGCACCCCCGGCTTTCTTCAAGATGGCTGTCGAACCTCAAAGCTGCAATGTGTTGCTCTGGTCTTACACATAGTAAAAGAAGCCACCCACTTCTGCTATGTGGTCCAGACTTGTGCTTCCAGACTTGTGCTTTTTAAAGCAGACTTTGTTTCCACCTGAGTTCTTTGCGGCCTCCAGAGTCTTTGCTTTGGTAGCTAAATGTTGAAAAATGTTGTTCACAGTGTCACACAGGCACTTTGAAATGCTTTAATAATGGTCCGGATAAAGCCAAATTTATGGATTGGATTCAGTTTCATGAATTGGGTTAAAAGACATTTCCAAGAAGGCGTTTCTTAAATGAGAATTTTAGTGTCATGAGTTTGATCACAGAATATTCAAAGCGAAATTGATGACAGATACTTGGCTTGAGTTCTTCATAGATGGTGTAGGAAGAACAGCAGCTGTGACTGATGAGGGTTCCTCAGAGCCAGGTTTCCTGTGCAGACACGCTGGAGATAGGCCAGCGCGGCGAGGAGCCTAGGAGTCTGCCCCAGGCCTTAGTGTGGATGGTCCCTTGACCGCACATCCTTTTTCTTATAGTTTTAGCTCTCCCTTTCTGATTCTCTGGCTTCATCGCCTATAGACCTGTGAAAAACCCAACTCGTGATTTTTTTCCCTCGGCCCCTTGCCTGTCCCCTTTATCCCTCTGAATGTTATTGTCTCTTCATATTCTTCTGTTCTCTTTCATTGCATTAGAGTTAAATGCACTTTCCTCTACTAACCTGTGAATGTTGTTAAAGTCAGTCTGCATGTATTCTTTTAGAAATCTTCTCGTTTTATACAGTTCCTTTTCAATTAATTCAACTGAAGTGTAAATACTGGGGAACAAAGGGTTAAAATAAGCTTGTAATTAAAGGCTTAGACGCTTGTTTTGAGTACAGTGTGACTTTTTGGTGTTAACTTATTTCTGCCTTTTTTAGACATCTTCCAGTTGGGTTGCCAAGTTCATGTGTTTAGTCAGTGGTTCCTCGGGATCTAGTCCATGAGCATGCTACCTCTGAATTTCCAGCACAGTCCCCAAGTCCTTTCTAGTCCTGCCTGTCAGTCGGTTATGGTGGTGATCTAGAGTTGAGAGCCACAGCATGAGGCAGCAGCACAGCTACATGAGATTGCCAGGCAGACTCTGCTTCTGGGCTCCGTAGTGGCTTCAGAACTGACAGGCTTTACCTTCTTTCTGGTTGCCATTGAGCACAGCACACAGTTGGTAGCTTAAGCGAGCAACCCGGGCGATGATGTTTTTAATCTGGGTTGTAATTATTATTAAAATGATGCTTGGTTAATGTATCTGTTTGCTTTGCCATTGAAGGTGTGTTCAGCCTTGGTGTCCCTGTGGATGCGCTCTTCTTTATTGGGAGCCAGCTGGTGGCCACCAGTCACACGGGGAAAGTGGGAGTCTGGAATGCTGTCACTCAGCACTGGCAGGTCAGTCTCCGCGCACACCGCGAGGTGAGAATAGTCTTGTGCCGACTGTTCCCCTTCCTTGTAGGATTCTTGCTAGTGGTGAGTATGTCTCACCGGAGACTTGTTTCTACATAGAAACTGTTCTGTCTGAAAGGGAGTTTATGACTGGGTGTGGTGGTGCACACTTGTAATCCCAGCACTCAGAGAGGTAGAGGCAGGTGGATTTCTGCGAGTTTGAGGCCAGCCTGGTGTACAAAGGGAGTCCAGGACAGAGAAATCCCACCTCAAGAAAACAAACCAACCAAACAAAAAAAGGGTGTGTGGGGGAGTTTATATAATGATAATTTTAAACTAAGTCTTGGCTTTTTTTTTTAATTTCCCGATTTTTAAGAGCCATGCTGTGTGCATATGAGTTGAAGCGCATTTCATTTACTGTGTGGGAGAGTAAGAAGTCTGGACAGAGACAGGCTATCCACAGACAGGCGAGGAGAGTGAGACAAAACTGAAGCAGTGCCAGTCGAAGCAGACAAATTAAGGGCTCTACAAGTAATAACATGGAGATCAGGAAAGATTTTTCAGTGGGTTTTGGTTTTTGTTTTGTTTGTCTCCTAAGGTAACCACACTTAAAGGACTGTGCTTTTTTGTTTTTTTTCTAGGGTAGGAGAAGCTTGAGCATGTTGTAGGCGGAGAGGGGAGTTGCAGAGAAAGCACTGGAGACTGGAAAGATGGAGGTGGCTTTTCCTCCAGAAGTGAGGAGGGTGTGGGATGCAAAGCACAGCTAGAGAGGGTGACCAGATCCTTCCTTCTCTGGTACAGATGCTGAGGAAAGAGGAGAGAAGTGTGGAGGTGTGTTATCGAGTATCATAGGGGTTATGAATCATGTATTTGTCATAGTGATCCATTAGTACTGAGAACAGGGATTGGACAAGGGAAGAGTTGGCTTCACTGAGGGTGAGTTTCACTTAGGTGAATGCAGTGTACCAAAGGCTGAGAAAATATGAGTATGGCAAGGTTGTTAAAACCAAGATAACAAGGAAGCTCCGGGAAGACAGGAAAAGACACAGGGATGTCGGGGACTGGAAGAAACTTCAGCGGGTTGATAGCTTAAAAAGAGCTGGGAAGACAGTGGTGGCAGGGATGGGTCCAGGCTTCAGTGTTGCAGAAATTCTCACACTGCAGCCTGTTTAATCTCCTGTTGTGCTGACTTGAAAATGCAGGAAGCTTTCTTTATTTCACATGCATAGATTCAGCCAGCTGGATTGAACATTCCAAAACAGAATTGACATCCCAGCTGATCAAATAATGTTTACATTAGGTAATGCTGGGTAGTCCAGGGATGATGAAGGGCATGGTGGTGGCCTGTTAAAACCAGGCTTGTTATTCTTGTGTGTCTATGGTTCTAGTATGTTGAGGTCTTAGAATGAACCCAGCATATACTGGGGAATGGAAACCCTAGGGACATCTGTGGGCATGTAGGCATCAGGAATAGAAAACAGGGTGCAAGTAAGCTAAGCCAGATGACAAGATGCTCAGCAGAGGTAAAGGGTTGACTTTAGAGTGGGAGGCTCAAGGGAAGGGGTGGGGGAATGTGACATGATTGACATAAAGCTCTTCAGGAATAGTCCTGAGATCTGAGTAGCTGGGAGCTGGTAACGCTGTTGATGAATCTCAGGTAAGGGATCATAGTTGGGAAAGTTGTTTGAATTTCAGTGAACATACAGAAGTCAGGTTTGTATAAAAGGTGTTATGATAAATGGAGCAAAGGCATCGCAATGGTTGTCAGTGGAGAGGCAGGGACAGAGGTGGCACTGACTGAGATGGTCGGTTGTCAGGATCCTTCTGCTGGTAGTGCCCTTGCTGAGAGGGTTGGGCGTTTTGGGAGTTCTGCTTTTTGCTTTTTGCCAGTTAGAGTGTTACAGTGGGGCCAGGCTGTCCACACGTGGGCATGCTGTTCTGTGGCCTGGAAGGAGCAGATCCCTTATTGTCCTGTTGGCTTTTCACTGTTGTCAGAACTCGGCATAAGGTTTTAATAGCTTTGAGATCCAGAGACTTGTGCCAGTGACCTCAGGGTGGATCTTAGCTTTGGGTGTTTTGTCTGAGCATCACCTCATCCCTCATGCCTGGCGTATGCATGGCTGAGGACTACATCTGACAGGTGGATTGTTGCACATTTCAGAAAGACCCTGGGAAAGTTGTGCATCCATGCAGCAAATGAGCCTTGGAACCCAGCTGGAGATAGTGTACTGGGAAGCCTCAGACTTGTCTGTAGATCTCAACCGACAGCTCTGACTGGCGGCTGGCTCCCAGACTGCTGCAGCACAGTTGACTAGGTCCTGAGTTGGCCTTTAGCAACATTCTGGCCACAAATAGCAGAGGAGGTGCACAGGCAGCCCCTGAGCCCTTTGCTTTAAATGTATAGTCAGGATGGGTTTGAAGTGTTAATCAGATGAATCACTAAGCCTTGCATCTGCGTTTAACCTTAAAAACACTGTAAAATTCTGATTTTTATGTCAGCATCTCAGCTCTGCCTTAATAAAATGTTGATGAAATGTTATAAAAACCAATCTAGTCACAAGAAGAAATCAGGTTTTATTTCTCATTTATTCCCCCTTCTCATGCAGCGCGCACACACATACACCGTGCTGCCACGAAGGGTGAGCCATAAAGCAGTCATTAATGTTGTCAGGTAGGTAGCCAGCCTCAGTAACACAGCGGAGAATAGCACCATGTAAGCATCATTTCCCAAGTTCTTTGAGTTTGGGTTTAGACTTACACTAAAAGTGTTGTTATGGAAAATGAAAATCCAAACCATTCTATTTTACCAATGAAGACTCAGGAGCCAGGTGCTGGGTGAAAACCTACTAGCTCAGAGAGGCAGAGAAAGTAACCAGCTGATCTTCCTACTTAGCTGATGTCCCAGAGGAAAAGCCTTTCTGCCAAAAGCTTGTTAGCTCAGCTGAAGGCCCAGGAGGAAAAGGCCAACAGCTAAAAGCCCAAGAGCTAGAGTGCTAAAGAGCCAAAGACCAAGGAGCTCAAGAGGTAAAGAGCCCTTCTTCTTCTCCATGCTGTCTAAAAATACTCTTCTGTAAAGTCCCTCCTTTCTCCTAATCCCTGTCAGCTGGTTATTTGCTTCGTTAGCTAAGCCATAGTATATAAGTGAACACACAGAGCAGCTCACGCGTGGAATTTACCCTTGCTGGAAGACAAGCGGGAGGAAGAAGAAGTGCTCATCCTTGGAGCAGAGTTAATTGCTGGGGGGTGTTGTGGGTTGTTGTGTGCACGGCGTTACACCATCGAGTCATTAGGGACGTTTCATGCCCTCGGCCTGATGACAGGCATCCAATGCTGCTGCTTCCTGCTGCATTTTGTTTCGTTTTCTTGGCTTCATTTTTTTTTTTGTGGTAACTTAAGTCCTTTGGATTTCCGTACTTAACTTGTTTGCAAACCAGATGCAAAACAAGACACATGGGAGTCTTGCCTCTGCCATCCCCTGGAATAAACTTTAGTAAGGACAGTAAGAACAGGACGCTGTCCACTTGAAGTTGCAACAGGGTGTCAGGCAGCTGCACTCTGTCTGGAAATCACTGTGCTGTTCACTAGCTCTGATTAGTCACTTTGTGGTTTTGGCACTTGATTCTGTATGAGTGTTACCGGAGGAAGGGTGAGGTCCGCCTAGACCTCCCAGTTCCAGTGATGTAGTGATTCCATGCAGCAGGAGGAGGTGGTCCGTCTGATTGAGAGAGCATGGGCTGGAGCAGGATGCAACTAAAACATAGTCTTCAGAGCTGTATGAGAGCTTTCCAGTTCCCTGACAAGCTTAAAGGCATTGTCCAAGCCTTCCTAAAATTGGTTATTGGAATACCCCAAAGAATCAGAGTACTGAGGAAGTTGGAACACAGAGTAGAAATGAGATTCCTGAAATGTAATGTTCTCACCGCATCAGGTGCAGGATGTTGTGCCAATCACCAGTTACGACACTGCAGGCTCCTTCCTTCTCCTGGGATGCAACAATGGATCGATATATTACATAGGTGAGCGGCAAGCGAGCTTTGTACACGAGGGCACGGAGACCTCACCCTCTGTAGTTCTGACTAGATGTGTTCTTGTCTGCAGACATGCAGAAGTTCCCACTGCGGATGAAGGATAACGACCTCCTCGTCACCGAGCTCTACCATGACCCTTCCAACGATGCCATCACTGCCCTGAGTGTTTACCTAACCCCCAAAACAAGTCAGTACAAGGCCAGCCTTGGGGGCTCTTGGCACTTTGTGTACTTTACTGTCCTAGAGGATGCCCTGTAATGAAGGAATGCTGAGAAATACTAACATGTTAACATGTGCCTGGGTACAGACCATGAGCTTGAATGTGCTGCTTATACATGGCACCATTTTACTGAACTCATTAGACAAGATAATCATCAGCACAGAAGGATTGTGATACATGCCAAGATGACTGAAGTTTCAGTCAAATTCGAATCATAAAAACCATGGGTTACCCATGCTAGCCCTGTTTCCCTCCCTCCTTCCCTCCTTCTTTCTTTCTCTCTCTTTTCTTTCTTGCCCATTGTCCTCGGCTGCTTTCAGTGATAGAGCTAAGAGGCTGTGACACACAGTATGGAAAGCAGAATTTAAAATACTTAACTACTACTTGTTTCTTTAGAGAAAGCTTGCTGAGCTCTACTCTAGAATGAGGATAATGAAGTATGAGTTTCCCCCTAACCTAATTTACAATTAGAGGTAAAACTGGGAAAGTTTTAGAAATCAGAGCCCTTCCTCATGTTGGCAGGACTTAGGAAGCATGAGAATGGCGTCTTTCCGATTGCCTGGGGTGTCCCCATTCTGTGGGAAATAAAGCCCGCAGTTCTCTACCTGTGAAGCTTACTAGAATCCAGGCCAGTGAGTACCTGCCTATGTTTTGATTTGTGATGGGCTGTGGCACCAGTTTAAGGGAAGCTATGAGGGAAGGAGGAGTGGCTCAGCCTCAGCACTTGCCGTTCTTCCAGAGGACTCAGGTCTGTCCCAAGGACCAAATGACAGGTTGCTATAACTCTGGCTCCAACACCGTCTTCTAGCTCCAGGGGTACTAGGCATGTAGCCGGTGTACAGATGGGCATGCAGGTAAAATAGTCATACAGAGTAAAATTAAAGCAAGTCTTTTAAAAATAGGAAGGCAAAGAAAAGCAATCCAAAGCTGCAGTTGAGCCAGGGTGGATTGGAAGAGGAAGCATGGTCATCGGTGTGTGGGCATTGCAAGCAGTGCGTCTGCCCCATTTGTGGAGTTGGAGACTGTCGGTGCGGGTGACCTTGCTAAGCCAAGGATAGCTCAGTACCATAGCAGAAGTAAAAGCCAGTGCCACTCTGAGCTTAAGTCTGGAATGCTGCTGTGCAGATGGCGTTTCACTGGTGGGCCTGGCACGGCAGGGTTATTAGTTCTGTAAATCAGTACCGAGTTGGTACCATGTCTTAGGCATTCTGGAAGGAGATGAGTTTCTGTCAGTAAGGAGCAGATTCCAATTCAAATTCCACATTTGAATACGTGGTATTAGTGTGTAGTTGCCACAGCAAAGCCTAAGACAGTGCAGGAGGGCCAGGTGTAGCTTTATTATAGAGTGAAGGGCCAGAAATATAAAGGCGGTACAGACTTTCTATTGCATGTGTACCCTGAGTGGTGTGGCCACAAGCTCTGACTCCTACTAGGCCTCTGTCATCAGAGGGAGGCTTTACAGCGCGCCTTTCTTTTTTTTTTTTTAATTTCATTTCATTTTTAAATATTAGTTACAGTTTATTAACTTTGTATCCCAGCTGTAGCCCGCTCCCTCATTCCCTCCCAATCCCACCTACCCTGCCACTTTCCAAGTCCATAGATAGGGGAGGTCTCCTCCCCTTCCATCTGACCCTAGCTTATCAGGTGTCTTCAGGACTGGCTGCAATGTCCTCCTCTGTGGCCTAGCAAGGCTGCTCCTCCCTTGCAGTGGGTGGGAGTGTCAAAGAGCCCGCCATCGAGTTCCTGTCAGAAATAGTCCCTGTTCCTCTTACTAGGGAACCCACTTGGATACTGAGCTGCCATGGGCTACATCCCAGGAGGGGTTCTAGGCAACTTTCTTTTCGTCATTATGTAACACATTTCCTTTGACTTGTGGCTCCCAGGTGTCAGTGGGAACTGGATTGAGATAGCCTACGGCACGAGCTCTGGGGCCGTGCGTGTGATCGTGCAGCACCCAGAGACCGTTGGGTCCGGGCCGCAGCTCTTCCAGACCTTCACAGTTCATCGGAGCCCTGTGACAAAGACCATGCTGTCAGAGAAGCACCTGGTGTCAGGTAAGGTGGGACGCCCTCCCATCTCCTGGGACGCCGCATGCTGCCTGCTTCCGTGGCCTGAGAGAGGAGCGGAAGTGCGCTCTGCTGAGCCGTGAATGACTGCAGGAGTGTGCCTTTGACTTGGCCTGGATGCATCGCACATGAACCTGGGAAATGTGCCTTCTGTTTTAGCTCTAGTATTTCTTTTTTATGGCATGTTTCATGTCAAGATGCATATCAGATAACTGCCAAGAAGATTTTTCTGCGTCAGAATTTTCTTAAGTTTGAACTTGAATATAAATTTTATTTGGTTAGCTTTAGCTTTAAGCTAAAGTTGTAGACCTAGGTGTACATTTTGATAGTTGATGACCTTAAAATGTTAAAAATTCATAACAATATAAAATTATGTGAAGAAAGTAACATTGTGTGTGCTTATAGTTCTGTATAAGCACAAAACTTTAAACATCTAGATAATGGAGTAAGACGTTACATGCTGACTTTGACCTAGTGCCAGCCTACTTTCTTTGGATCATGAGACTAAGCTACTAGCTTTTCTGTTTTGTAAAATGCCTTAACGTTTTTGCTCCTTTATTTTGTTTGATGTATTTGGGTTTCTATGTACTTGTTTGGTTGCACTGTCCCCTTCAGCCCTGACACACTTCCCACTGTCCTTCATGCGCTCACACACTTCCTCAATAAGGCCTCCCAGTCTGTGTAAAACTAACCTAGTCTTCTAGTCTTCTGTCTGCTTTTCATAGGCTTACGCTGTAATTGTTGCTCGCCTGTCCTCTATCTCCCTCAGGAAGATGAGTTCCACAGTAGTGGCTGTGATCTCTGCTCTTGGCACTTGAGAGATGCTGGGCAGTGCTGTATGCATCCTGTGAGACCTTAAGCTCTTAGCTGTGCTGTACGGGTTAAATGGCAGTGCTCTGAGATCCTCATAACTGATGGTGGTGGCTATATCAGCGTAGGATGTGATGCCAAAGCAGTGCCTAATATAATTTATATTTCAACATGGAATGTCACATGTAGGTATGGATTTAAATGCCCAGTTTAAGCATGTCTAGAGTGTTGCTTCTTCTCAGTCCTTCTGCCCTCCAGTGGCTACTGATGTAAATACAGCCATGTGCTTTTTCTGTGGTATACATGCCAGTGTCTGAAATGGGGCTTTGCAGGATGGTGTATGAACAAGGTTCTGTCATCAATGGTTGGATCATCCAGGATTGCTTCAGGTATTTATCTCCTCAGTCCTGCTAAGCTTAGTGAAATCAGAGGCCATTTCCCATGAGACTGTTCAGCCGCCTTACCTGTGCCTCCTGTACTTGCTACTGGCTCTGAGAACTGAGTTTATTATATACTGCTAAGATGTGCATAGGAGTTATTTGTTGTTGGTGTTTGCCAAGGTTACTTTGTATGCAGTAGGAATTGTGATGTTTGTACAGAAGTTTTACATGCCTGATGTTTACAGATGTTTCTAAAATCATTACAAATGACAAGTGTAAAGCAAGCAAAAATGTATACTTCTTGTCTGAAGGATTTAATATTTTAGGCTCTATCTTTTTAATAAGCATGCCCATTTAGAACAAAAATGTGGAGAGAGTTTAGGAAGTAATATACCATATGATCATTTACTAGCATTCATAGTCAGAAATTACCAAAAGCCTGTAAGACATGATGTAGAAAAGTTTTTTAAGTTTGAGAGAGACACTAAATTGCCTAAGCCAGGAGTGACGGAAAACTGTTGACTAACACTTCAAATATCTTATAGGCACCAGCTTTTTATTACTCATAGTCAGATTAGAGTCTGTATTAGAGCTGGGCATTTTTTTCTATAAAAACAAAGTATGCATTAAAAATAAACCTTCCAACCAGATTTTTAAAAATCTTTTAATTAAACTATTATTATTAACCCTGGGGGGGGGGGGGGGGTTATGAGACAGGGTCTTTGTATGTAGTCCTGGCTGTCCTGGAACTCATCATGTAGAACAGGCTGTCCTAGGCCTCACAGAGATCTGACTGCCTCTGCCTCTCAAGGTCTGGTATTAGAGGCATGTGCCTACCACTCCTAGGCAAATTTTTTAAAATGGGAATGTCTGTATCTTGTTGTGTATGGATAAGGATAAGAGACCACAGGAGGGGGTGTCAGGTCCTCTGAGTTGGAATTACAGGCAGTTGTGAGTTGTCTGATTTGGGTACTCTGGAAGAGAAACGGTCATTCCTGACCACAGGGCTCTCTCCACCTTGTAGGCCTAGAGATGGAGCTCAGGTCCTCAGGCTTGGTGGCAAGCCTCTTCACTGTGGCTACCTTCCCAGCCCCAGGTCTCTCACTTACCTAGACACAGATTGAGGACAGCTTTAAGATACATGTGCAGTCTGATTGCCTTTTCACGTGTGTTATGATCTGCTTTATGTGGAAGAAGAAACTTGTTTCAGAGTGGTGACAGACCTGTTCTTTCTTTCCTAGTGTGTGCTGATAACAACCATGTCCGCACGTGGACAGTGACACGGTTCAGAGGGATGATCTCCACTCAGCCAGGTTCCACTCCTTTAGCATCCTTCAAGATCCTGTCCTTAGAAGAGACGGAGAGCCATGGCAGCTATTCCTCTGGAAATGACATAGGTAGGTACCTTCCAAGACGGAAGTCCAGGACCAGGGTTGAGGTGTGTGTGTGTTGGGGGGCGGGGTGTAGTTGTAGACGAGAGGATGAGCTCAGCATGATGCTGTGACACAGGCTCCCTACTGGCCTGGCACTCACCACATAATCTGGAGTAGCTGGCCAGGGAGCCTGTCTGCCTCCCCATGCTGGGCTTTCCCACATGACACTTGGCTTGTTTTCTGTGGACCCAGGAATTGGGTCTGTGTATGTTCCTCACAGCCATCATACCAACCCCTGTAGTTCTCTTATTAGCGTCTGTGAATTCACAAAATTACATTACTGAAATATTTTCACTGTTTAAAAAGTTGAGAAAAACAATTTTTTTCTCAGTAACATTTCCTCCTTGAAATGCTGTCTTCAAATGCTAACCAGCTCTGTTTGTAACTAAAGTTGTGGTTGATTGCTGTGCCGAACTGATGAGAGGGAAAGTGAAGCTGGGAAGAGAGTCAGCATTGTTGCAGAATTGGAGTTGTTTGGCCAGTGTGTGCACAGCACTGTCCTCTTTGTGGTCCCGGCAGGAGTTGCGTAGTTAGCCTGCTTCACTGTCTGCACCCTGATTGTCCATCTGTAAATTGGGGCGATGATGGTGCTTTTCTTATGTAGCACCTCGGAAGCACAAGGCAGCATCTATGACCTGCTGGTAAAAATGCCACCATTCCCGTTCTGAGTGGGTGTGGCCCAGGCCTTGTTTGTTGAGGGCCGCCAGTAATTTAGTGTCCGTGTTTTTCCAGCACATCAGCAACAACAAAGAGCTTGCCATGTGGAAGGTTTTTTGTGTGCCCCTTTGGGTTCTAGGGATCGGGTTTATGCTCCCAAGCCTTTTCTAAATTATCAGAATCTAGGCATATTCTCAAGGGCCCTTCTGGTACCGATAATGCAGATCCTGAAGGCGCTATTAACCTCAGATGATAGTCGTTAACGCACAAGGTATAATTTGAAGTGTTGTGGGCCTGAAGAGATGGAAGACCTGAGTTCATTCCCAGTGAGCACGCAGGGCAGCTTTTTGGGATCCAGTGCCCTCTACTGTCCTCTGTGGGCATATACACACATGTGGCACAGGGACACACAGACACACTCACATAGACACACTTACACAGATATATGCACACACAAACATGGACGCACAAACATACACACACACATTTTTGAAAAGAAATATTGTGCATAGGGGCTGGAGAGATTTCTTAGTGGTTAAGAGCACTCTGTGCTCTTCCAGAGGACCCGGGTTCAATTCCCAGCACCCACATGGCAGCTCACGACTGTTTCCAGTTCCAAGGGATCTGACACCCCCATACCAATGCACATAAAAAAAAAGTGTTGTGCACCTGTATTTTAGAAATTAATGCAGATGGACGTATTTTTGCTGATGTGTGTGGGTGTGACGTTGACTTAGGGTTGTGTCACACAGCAGGAGTGGCAGTTGTTTGGGGAGAGGAGTATTAGTATTAATGTGCTTTTATAAAATGGAATCGTGCCTCCTCCTTGTCAACCTTTTCTTTTTCCCAACACAGGGCCTTTTGGAGAACGAGATGATCAACAAGTGTTTATCCAGAAGGTTGTTCCCATTACCAACAAGCTGTTTGTCAGGCTGTCGTCAACTGGAAAAAGGTGCTGCTCCATAGGGCTTGTGTGCTCACATGACTTTGTCTCCCAGAGTGCAGGGGCCATCTGCTAGAGGTAGAAGAGCTCCCTAGGAACACTGAGACAGAAGTCCATGCGCTAGACGTAGTCCATACGCAGAAGTCCATCTGCTAGAGGTGGAAGAGCTCCCTAGGAACACTGAGACAGAAGTCCATACGCTAGCTAACCACTAGATAGCTGGAACTCAGCAGGTTGCTTCCACCAAGTCTCTGTGGACGTAACAGACTGAGAGCACCATAGAAAGGCAGAACTCAGAGACCTTTGAGTCAGAGCACCTGCCACTGTGTGCAAATGTGTGTACAGATGTGTGTCCATGATGTGCATCTCTCAGATGGGGCAGTACAGATTCCCTGAGCATCATTATTAACAAAAGTAAGGAAGCCGAGCATTCTCTGCTGATGGTCATGTGAGCTGCATAACTCTGCCATGGTTCCCAATTAGCATCAGTTCCTTTTCTCTGGAATGGCCATCTAGCTGTGCCCTGTGCTTGCAAGCAGGGGGCTGCTCTGTTCCTGAGCATTACCAGGACAGTCTTTTCGGGTTCTGTCTTCAGAGATGCTTTTTTATTTTTTTTATTTTATTTTATCTTATTTTATTTTTTGTCTAATTTTAATGGCAGTGACAGTGGATTTCATGGCTGCCAGGTACCCTAAATTCTGATTCGAATACTCTCTTTTATTAGCTATGTAAATTTAACCTAAGTGACCTCATCGCCTGCCTGACAGAATAAGGTTCCATGTCTAGAGAGTACACCCTGTGGTAAAGTGATGAAAACAAATACTTATAGTCCGTCACTGCAGTGGACATTTGTGGAAATGAGCTTTTCTGCCGTCTTGTTTTACTTTGAAAATGATTGACCCTAATATTGCTGTTTCTTTTCTGCATGAGCAAAGTAAGTCCTTAAATGGGCAGATTTCCATTTGGATGTTGCTGGTGCTGTTGGTGTGTTTAAGGCTCTCTGCTTACCTTTGTTCGGCATGTCTGGTTACATGCTGCTTCAGTGAACAAGCTCTGAAAAATAATCAGTTTTATTTCCATCAGAAATCGCATATGGTCATTAGTAGTTAATGAATTCTAGAAAATGACTACTGTGCCAACAGATTTTTTTTTTTTTTTAACAAAAAGAATTGAGAGTTTGGACTGTGCTCTCTGTGTACTGAATACAGAAGCTGCCTAAGGTTTATTAAACTTGACTCATGTGTTCTGTTTTCATATCCCCTTCTGTGTTATCTTGGAAAGTTTCCTGCATATGAGAGTTTATGGTCTGAGGGGAACTATAGTGGCAGAAAGAATAAGCATAGGTTGCTTTGTAGAGTTGATGCTTTTGTCACCTAGAAGGTCACTGACAGCTGAGGCCCCGGGAGACAGAGACTGAACAGGGTTAACCCTGAATCCTGTAGACATAAGGACTCTACTCCATGGCATAAAGACCACGGCATACCATGACACAGGTTTATTTTATTTTAGAGATGACCCAGAAATACGGATTTTTACTTATTTATTTTTTTAAATTACAATTTATTCACTTTGTGTCCCAGCTATAGGCGCCACCTTCATCCCCTCCCAATCCCGTTCTCCCTCCTTATTCTCCTCCCTTGTCCCTTCCCCAGTCCACTGGTAGGAGAGGTCCTTCTCCCCTTCCCTCTGACTCTAACCTATCAGGTCTCATCAGGACTGGCTGCATTGTCTTCCTCTGTGGCCTGTTAAGGCTGCTCCCCCTCAGGGGGGATGTGATCAAAGAGCCATCCACTGAGTTCATGTCACAGACAGCCCCTGTTCCCCTCATTAGGGAACCTACTTGGAGACTGAGCTGCCATGGACTACATCTGTGCAAGGGTTCTAGGTTATCTCCATGCATGGTTCTTTGTTGGAGTATCAGTCTCAGAAAAGACCCCTGTGCCCAGATTTTGTGGTTCTGTTGCTTTCCTTGTGGAGCTCCAGTCCCCTCCAGGTCTTTGTATCTCTCCCTTCTTTCATAAGGTTCCTTGCACTCTGCCCAAAGTTTGGCTATGAGTCTTAGCCTGTGCTTTAATACCCTGCTGGGTAGAGTCTTTCAGAGGCCCTCTGTGGTAGGCTCCTGTGCTGTTCCCTGTTTTCTCCCTCTTCCAATGTCTATCCCATTTGCCTTTCTGAATTAGGGTTGCGCATCTAAATGAATATTAGACATATAGAATAAAGATACTAAAAGCTATACACTAAAGAAGCTAAGTAATAAGGAGGACCCTGGGTAAAATGCTCAGTCCTCATTCAGAAATACAGATTAAAAAAAAAAAAAAATCAAGTCACTTTTACAAATATAAATAAATATTAATTCTTATATGAGTAATAATAAAGAAGATTATTGTCCTGACAAACAGACAAACAAAAAACTGTGGTTTGATTTGATTTTTGTAGATACTAGTGACTCGGTGCTAGAGAGACAGTTGCTGCTTCTGCAGAGAACCAGGGTTCAGTTTCCAGCATCCATTGCGGGCAGCTCACAACCACATGTAATGCCAGCTGCACGGAATCCAGTGCTCTTCTCTGACTTCCTGGGCCACCAGGCATGCGTACAGGCACTCGCACATACATATAAATCTGTTTTTAAAGTTCTACCAACTGAAATGAATGACAATTGCTAATGTCTTTACACGTGGTCATAGCAGACCATACACACAATGAAACTAAGTTTACTCCAGAGCGGATGACTCCAGTGTGTGTGGCCTGTGTGGCTAGCAGGACTGGCAGCTCCCTTGGCCTCCTCCACTGAGCTTTGCTTCCTCCTCCTGGGGTGCTCGGCCTCTCACTCTCCCCATGCTGGCTGTGCCTTTCTGTGCTGCTGAGTTGCTTCACTTCTGACTCAGAGCCCTGGAGCTTTTGTGGGCCTGTGTTGTAAAACACTGTGCACAAACTGGAGGGGTTCTCATCCCCATATCAGCATATTTTATTTATTTTTGTTCCCCCTCTCTCTATTCCTCCCTCCCTCTTTCCTTTTTCTGTTTTCTTGCATTATTCTTGTAAAGACTTGCTTATTCCCAAGATGATTTTTGTGACTAAGTTGTATCTCTATATTTCAGTTAAAAACAATGTGTGAGAAGTTTTTCTCATTCAGGGAAACAAGATTTGATTTTTCTGTCAACTTCCTTTGACCATTTTAAAACTATTTTAGATACATGTTCATGTGTGTGATTCTGAAAATGAGAAATTAATGAGACGTTTGAATTGTACAATGCATGTAATTGCTTTCTTGATCTCTAACCCCTATCTTTGCAGAATATGTGAAATCCAGGCTGTGGACTGCACTACAATATCCTCATTCACTGTGAGAGAGTGTGAGGGCTCCAGCAGGATGGGCTCACGGCCAAGGCGCTACCTGTTCACTGGCCACAGCAATGGCAGCATCCAGATGTGGGACCTGACCACAGCTATGGACATGGTCAACAAGAGCGAGGACCAGGGTAGGTCAGGCACAGGAGGGTATGTGTGTGTGTGTGTGTGTGTGTGTGTGTGTGTGTGTGTGTGTGTCAGGGCTGACCTTTGACCTGGGATGCTGATGAGTGTTTCTCTCCTAAGATGCAGGTGGTCCCACAGAGGAAGAGCTGCTCAAGCTGTTGGACCAATGTGATCTGAGCACATCCCGCTGTGCTACGCCCAACATCAGTCCCGCCACTTCCGTGCTTCAGCACAGCCGCCTGCGCGAGTCCAGCTCTAGGTGGGTCAGGGAGCGGACAGTACTTCCTGGTGGAGGAATTTCTGCTGGACAGTTGTCTGATATACTGTAACATTCAGTTGTGGAAGCTGTACTTTTCTAAATACAGTTTGAGTCATATTTGTTGATACTGAACTGTTCAAATATAAATAAATCTTTTCTATTTGCATAGCACGTTCTTAGGAAAATATTTCAAACTCTTACTGAATTAGGTTTTTGATAGTTTCATGCATGTATAATGTGCATGGAAAAAAAGCATTGTGGTCTTTTATGTGTGTGGCATGTGCTGTGATTGACCCCTGGATTTATGCCAAACGTGCTTTTTACCTTTTGAGCCTGACCCTTAACCCTCTTTTGCCTTTTGACTTACTTTGGAGAGTTACTTTTCTATTGTGATGACACACCAGGACCATGATAATTTACAGAAGAAGTTTATGTGAGCTTAAGATTCCACAGGTTAAGAGCCCGGCATATAGGCAGCAGGCAGCACGCAAGGCAGCTGGAGCAGGATGCTGAGGGCTTACATCCTCAACTGCAAGCACAGAACAGAGAGGGTGAACTAGAAATGCACAAGGCCTTAAATTCCCGAAGCCCACCCTAGTGACATACTTCCTGCAGCAAGCCAGACCTCCTAAACTTTCAGAATCAGTATCACCAACTGACATTTATCATTCCAGCTACCACAGGAAATGACTGACAGCTGGAATGCAACCATGTGACCAATAACTCCCCCTACATTAGGAAGATCGAATATCAATTGGGTACTTTGTAAAGTTTTGTTCTTACTGCTCAGGTTCATTTGCTAATCAAAAGTGGTTAAATTCCTTTGTCTAATTTCATATCAGGGCATTGTATACTTAGCACAATGAAATACTCTGCCTTTTCTGTTGGTATACTTAAAAAAAACCTTTTATTTACATTGCTTACATCTTTTTCCCTACTTTACCCTCAGTCCCTTCCAACACCCCAACACCAGGTAGGGGAGAGAAAGGGTCAGTGGGAAAGGGGCTGCAATTCTTTCTTAGCTGCTTCCTGCTGGTCAGGGTTGTTGTGTTCCTTGCAGACAGTCCAACTCTCATTTCAGTAGATCTCCAACTACTTGTTTCACAACAGCAACCAGGAGCAGCAAGGGAGAAGCAGGAACAGCCTTGTTCTTTCTCTGAGATCTACTCTCTGGGATCTGGAATTTATTTCCTCTCCAGAGTCCTCAGATTTAAACTCTCTGTAGCTGGCAAAGGGTTCCTTTCAGAGTCCACATGAGGCAAATAGTCTGCTGCTGTGGACCCTCTGAATCAGTCCCACATCCCACACCTGGGACCAAAACAAAAACATATTTATATCCATAACACTTTTCCAACCAAATTAAAAAAAAAAAAAAAAAAAAAAAAAAATACAATTCTGAGAATCCAAGGACCAAATATTGAATTACATTGATTCCTTTCTGGTTTTAAAAAGTATTTTCCTTTTCCCCCTGCTATTCAAAAATTTTGCTTGATTGTGAGTGTATGTACGGTATTACCTAAGTTGGTAATTGTATGTAATATGGTTAGCTTGACAGATACATTCTCACAGAGAGGGGTAGATAGTAATATGCCTTATATGTTTTAATGATGTTTTAGTTGGCAGTTTAACTGCTGAGATATGCTCCTGAGACCTTAGAGTGAAATCATAACTGTCATTTTTAAAATCTGCCTTTCAGCCTTCAGCTGCAGCACCACGAAACGATCCCCGAAGCAGCCACTTACGGTGCCACACGGCCTTACCGAGAGAGCCCTTTGTTAGCCAGAGCACGGAGGACTGAGAGTTTCCACAGCTACAGGGACTTCCAGACTCTCAATTTCAACAGAAGCGTGGAGAGAGCTGTCCCTGAAAATGGGCAGATGGGTCCAGCACAGGCTGAAGTGAAAGGGGCAGCTGGGGAGTGCAATACATCGGAGAGAAAGTCCCCTGGGACAGAAGTCAGATGTGTGAAAGAATTAGAGGGAGGGTCAGAAGTGCATAAAACAGCAGAAGGTTTGTCAGAGCCCAAGAAAAGGTCATCAGAGGATGAAAATGAACATAAAGTGGAGTTACGGAAGAAAGGATTTGAAGCAGGAGGATTCCTTGGAAGAAAGAAGGTTCCCTATCTCTCATCCTCCCCAAGTACCTCTGATGGAGGGACCGACTCCCCTGGTACAGCATCCCCATCTCCAACAAAGACCACTCCCTCACCTCGGCACAAAAAGAGTGACTCCTCAGGCCAAGAGTACAGCTTGTGAAATCACCAAAGTTCATGGGAGTTTTGCAAAATTTACAGGAAAAACCACATTTCCTGGGTTTCAGTACATTGGCTTTTACATCAAATACTCAGCAGGATAGTTTGACTCTCCTGAAGCAGGAACAGAGCGTACTCTCCTAAGGGGCTTGGTGAGCCTTTCTCAACACTCAGAAGTAGCTCTAATCCTGCAGGCACACGAAACGGCAGCTTGTAAGCAGGAGTCATTTCCATGGTGTTCCCCTAGAGCATGTGATGCAGCGGGCCCTGTTCCTAACGCCGTTGCCCAAGGCTTGTCTTGCAGTGGTACCTTGCAGTGAATCACGTAATCTTGGAACGTGGGCTCCCAACCCTTGTGAATGCGAAGTGTTTACTAGATAATTAATGAGGTGCTATGTTGTGAAAAGGTCTATTGTTAACTCAACACTATTACTGGACCCCAAGCTCTACCGTGCACTACGTCTTTAGGGTGATTTTATTTCATTGTGGGTCATTTTCTGATTCTTGGGAGTTAATACAGCATGCATCACCAGTGATTGATACCTGAAGTCCTTCCAGTGGGAACAACTGTCTGTGTTTGAATAGGTAAAATAATGACAGGGGGATCTGGGTGGTCAGAAGGGATCCCTCCATTTGCTAGTCCAGCTACTTTATGAGCCACTGTGTTTTTGGAGTGTCACATAGGATTGGAATTCTGAATTTGGAGTTAAATGCTTTGGTATTTAAAAATGTTTTGGCTTTATTTTGAACTCTGGGAGCAAAAGAAAAAATTTTGTACATTTTCTTCATTTAATTGGAGTGGTTTACCTATATCTGCAAACGAAGAAAATTTAAATTTAAACCCATGAGCATTTACTAGTGAATGATGTATATTTCCCATTCCCAGAAGTATAATGAAATTGGAATAAATTCTTTAAAGTTTACTATATTATTAGTGGTTTCCATACAAATTTTCTTGTATTTAGTTGTTGATTAAATCAAATGAGAAAGGGTAAGTCGGTTTGTCTTTGGTTATTTAAGGAACATTATCTTATTTAAGCTGTACCCACATTTGTCTGTGAAAAGAAATATTTTTCATGTAAGAAGAACCACTAACGAGAGGAAAAGTTGGTTGGGACTAAAATTTTTTAGAAACATGGTATGAGCACTTATCCCAGCCTGGCAGGTGGAGGCCAGCCCGGGCTACACATGAGCCTCTGTTGCAAAACAAATGGAAGCGCAACTTAAAGCACGGACTGCAGCATTTGCACAGCTGGCCTTGTGTCTTCCATCTTACAGGAGAGCTGGATTCTACTTGTCTCTCTCTTCTTGCTGTGCCTTCATTGTCAAGTTTCTGACTCAGAGCAATAATGAAGCAGGTTTGTATACTCTGACTGCTGCGAAAAGGGGGAAGCGTAGTTCACGGTGAAAATAGTTCAGGCTGTTTTGTTGTTGTAAGTGTTCTATTACGCCAAGTGAGGTAAGCATTGTCCTCATCTCACAGTGAAGTCACAGACCACAAGGGTAAAACTTAGCCCATGGCCGAGCCAGCTTTCAGACTGATGGCTTCTGTTTAAAAAAACAATAATTTGCTTCTTGGCTTTCTCATCAGGATTTCCCAGCATTAAATCTAGCTGTCCTAGCCCCGTTTTGTTGAATATCTGATAATGGACTCATTTTTGGAAAGGGTATCAGTTGATTTTAGGGTATGTTGGACCGGACCATATTCATCATAGTCTGGTTTTTTAAATAGGTATGTCTCTGTTGCTTTTTATGTGTTACTCAGGATTACTAGAATATTCTTTGATTAGTATAGTAAACCTAGTTCACATTTAGGTCTCTAGTCATACCATCTTCCTGTGCATCGTGATGTGCTGTGCTTTTCCCACCAGTTGCAGCATTTCTGTGGATGCCAGCATTCGTGCTAGAGCGTCTCAGCACACGCTAAGGGACCTGTAAATACAGGTTCTTTATGTAGCTCATTTTGAAGAGTCAGAGGAAGGTAGGAAGGTGGAAGGATGGTTGTGTAGACGGGGAAGGACCAAAGGCCTGTGAAATACAACCTAGAGTCCTGTCAGCAGACTCCCCAGACAGCCCTCTCAACCTGGAGGGTAAGGTCAAACCTGCTCCCTTTGTTTTCTTGGCAACTGGTTCTTCTCTTGTTCCCAGATGTGGAATTCTTTGTACAGCCCTGGGAGAGAGCTCATGATCCCCTGGACCACCAGCTCTCCATTAAATTTCCTGGGAGTTCACCCAGGATTTGCAGTGACATCTATGCCAGTCCAGCTGACTGAAAACCAGGAGGAGTCCTGAGAAGGTTCCTGTGCCGGAGGTCAGGCTCTCCACACCGTGGCCAGCAAGGTCAGAATCGCCAACAGCCCTCACCTCCACCGAGGGAGGGGAGTAGCGGGCTGGTGTCATGTGCATGGTGTGACCATGTTCCTGATACAGAATGATGGGAGAAGACTGAGTCTTCACTGGGTGTGCATGGAGAGTGTCGCTCTGGGGTCTTTCTCAGATTTTACGACTGCAGGCACCTGGGTGAGGGCTACCTGGGCAAGGACTACCTGGGCAAGGAAAAACTTGTTCAACTTCCTGTTTGTTGATGCATTCCAGTATTTAGTCTTGAGTTTTCCGACATAGAGCAGAGAAAGTGGTGCCTAGCTTGCTCTGAGTCTGAGGTGCAGATTGCCTGAAGTTTAAATTGAGGCTGCTAGGAGAGCGGTCCTGTCTCTGCAGGAAAGCTTCCCTGGCACGCCAGACGGGCGTTAGCTGTTTGCCCACCACCTGGGGTTACTCACTGCAAGCTTGTCCGTGCTCTTCCTTGGAGCACTTAAGCTGAGTATTCTGTGGGACAGGGCTGGAGGGGCAGGAGCACTGAGCTTACAAATGCTCCCTGCACATGCGCACACACATGAGGTCATGCACGCACGGCCACACACACCTATTTCAGACCAGGCTCCCTCCTGTTCCTACTGTATGTGCATAGCTCTCTGTTGACCTTGAAAGAGACTCTGGAGGGCCCCCCAAATGGAAGAGCACTGGCAGTTGGGGCGTGGCAGTGGCAGGATTGCACAAGCTGTGGGAGGCCCTGGGTTCACTTCAGCACTGCCACAGTCGGTCTGTGGAGGAAACGGAGAGGACCTTATTTTGTAGCATAGCTTTATGTGGTACTGTTCCTGAAGGAGACCCAAGAGCCGCCCCAGTTGTGTGCCTCTGGACTGAGATTGCAAGAGCTGGGAAATTCACGTGAGTTTGCAGTAGTGCAGGGCCAGGTACAGGACAAACTGATGCCAGCAACAGAGGCAAAGAAGCATCATCCTTCTTGGGTGGGAGGCTGGAGGTGAAGGCTCCCCTGGTCTTCGTGCTTGCCTTTCCTGCCCTGCACCTCCAGTGGCTGCAGCTGCTCTGCCAGTTGCTATGCCTCCTTGCGACCTGGTTCTGCCGCCAGCTCTGCACTTGGATAAGCCACTGCTCACTAGAAATGTCTTAGCCTTGGGCTTCGGGGCCATGTGAAGCAGGAGTGGAGCAGTGCACTTGGTGTGTGTCACTTTCAGACATAGAAAGTGACTCTTAAGGCAAGCCACGTGTTCTGGGGGATGGTGGCATCGGGCAGCAGATATTTTGGAAGCAAATGGAACTGGGAGTACCTGGGCCCAAGTCTGCAGGGGCAGACAAGATGGCTCTGAAAAAGACTTGAGGAGAAGCTGGGAGTGCAGGGTACTGAGCCACAGGTAGGTATTGAGATATCACTCAGCCCATTCCCTGCCCTGCAAACACCCATCTGTGCAGACTGGGAGCTGTGGACAGAGTAAAGGGCAGCGCTGAGACCCCTCCATCTTTCCTCCCGTCACAGTGCAGATGGGACAAGTGGTTTCCAAGTTCTCAACATCAGCACGCATCTGCTTTCTTTACACTGGGCATAACAAGCTCTATGACACTCAAAACTCTGGTTTTCTTTGGCCGTATAGCCCCTCGCCTACCCTAGGATGTTGCCCTTGTGTGAGATGATGGGCGAATTCACTCACCTTTGTTCTTAGAGCATACTCATTAGAAGAACGAAAAGAAAAACAGGGTGTTAAGCTTTTCAGCTTGTCTGCCCTCACTTGAAGACACCCACAATTGACACCCACAGGCTTCCAAGCAGTTGCCCCCCAAGTCCAACCAGGAAGAGTACTCACGTTAGACTGTTGAGAAAAGCAGATGCTCTTGTCAGCTTGACTCACCCAGACTGTGGGTACTCCCGCACTTATCTACTGTTTTATAAAATTTACAGATTTTAAAAGAAAACTCTTCTGTGTCTGTCCAACCCTGCCCCCACTGCATGACCCAGGAGGTGATGAGACTCATCAGGACCAGTCTTTCCTGGTTATAAGGACAAGTGGTTTGGGTCCAGCTAGTTGTCAATGGGCTCAACAACAAGTCTGTTTATTGTAAACCACTGTTTTCAGTTTAGTGGAAGAGCAAACAAATGCCTTGTGTGTATCCACTTGTCCTGTGTTGTTTGAGTTCCCTGAGAAGCTGGGTGCTAGCCTGTTTGTCTCGGAATGTCCTCCAAAGCCCGCTTTCCTCAGTCAGGCTAGCTTTCTGGCTGTTTCTCCCTGCTACAGAATCAGAGTACAGGCATCATGACTCATTTATCTCATGTGGAAAATAAAACAGCTGGTGAGAAAAAGAATCTAAGTAGCAGCTCCAGCACCAAGTTCTTTATGTGCTGCTGGACTCAAAACCCAGAGCAGCGTAGATCCTCTGTGCGCTGTGTGAAAACTCCCGCCCTCCGTAAGGCTGGCCTGGGACCTCACCAAGCCCCAGTGCAGCAGGTGAATGAAGTCACTGCGGGTGTAGTTTGGACTCGGCTCTTTTATTAGGTGATGTTATACAACCCTGTCTTTGCATCCAGACAACTGCCATGACACCTGCCAAGCTGGCTTACAAAGATCATCACAGGTTAGTTTGTTCAGATTGTCAGTCTGTTAGCATTATTAAGTCTCATAAGAAAACTGGGTGTCTCTCCAAAATAGAAAAGAAAGTTGGAAAGCACAAGCAAGTTACAGGGGTCTGGGCAAGTTGTACAAGGTATGTGAAAGGTCAAAGTTCAGTGCATTGTTACCAAACTACTGCTTAAATCAGTTATTGATCTACTCTGTAACAGTCACAAGGACTGGCTTGAATAACAAAAGCATATGTCTAAACAAAGTCAAAGTGTTTGTCACCCTACTCCCCAGCCCCCAAGCTTTATCAGAAAATTACTCAGTAGTTAGAAGGCCAGCTACATCAGCCTGGCACAATACTCAGGAGACTAATGTGGTCAGAGGTATTAAAAGGGAGACCATTTCCCCTCTTCTCTTCAAGGCTTCCTGGGTCCCAGAATCATCTGCTCTCCTGTTCTGTCTACAAAGAGGAGTGTCAACAAAGCGACATTTCCTCCATACTTCCAAGTGAAGAGATGGGCAAGCAAGGGTTCTGTCTTACCCTCACATAGACGGAACTATAAGGCCAGAGGAGGCAGAGGTTCCTGTCAAGTCTGGTGAGCCCTGAGGACCAGAGCCTCACCTGGCCTTGACAGTGAAAAAGAAAGAAGTGACTAAGTTTGGGCACCTCTTTGGTTCTAAACACACAGCAGGAAAGTATCATCAAAGAATAAAATTATTAGTATGTTTCCTTCACACTCCCTAGACATTAGGTTTAAGTCCTTAAGAGAGGTTGTCAAGACAACTATTTCTCTCTAATGATTTTGTTCCTGATCTTGGTTCAGTTCAACACTGTAGAGGCCCACTGTTGATAAAACCTAGAACTTATGTGAGATATAAAACCTAACAGTCTGACCAGTTCTGTTTCCAATTCTAAAGGTATAAATCTTTTGGCAAGACAGGAAAATGCACATTATGATTTGTACAGGCACTATGGATGCCTCACTATTTTAGATAGTATTTGTGGCAGTCGTGACAAGTGATGGGAGTGTTTAATCCAGGTCTGTGCTTTGAAAAGTAAAGGTGGCAAGCGTTTAGGAGCTGCTGTGTCATAGATTTGGGTGACAGTCCACCCCTGGAGTCTAGCCTTAGACTGTTTGGTCATGGGAGTAAATAGTGGCTTTCCAGAAAAATGAGTTAGTCCCCCTTAATGTGTTTGCCACCTGCCTCTTGGCACAGACCCACAAGATATTGTTACATAGACCCAGAATAACTTCCCAGAAGCTTTAAGACTGAAGGGAAGGAGGTTTTCTTACATTGCTTTCCAGGAACAGCAGATTCCTAGTTTACGAAAAGTATTGACAATTTCACAAGTTTTAGTTTGGAAATAAGACCTTGGTTGAAGCAGAGGTGTTCCATTTGTAAAAGCCCAGCTTCAGTGAGCTGCTTGGTCCTTGGAAACAGCTGTGAGAGCTGTGCACAGCTGAACGGCACCTGCTCTGGTGGAAGCTGCAGCTCTAGAACCAGAGCCATGTGCATGCATGCAGAGCTGGTTCTCAGCTTCAGTGTGGACTGCGGTCACCAGTGTGGCTCTTGCTTGGAGTTCATCCTCTGCCGGACATAGCAGGTTGAAAAAGAGCAAGAAGAGTCTCTCAGCCGATTTACTTGGTTTTAAACAGGTAACGTCTCATTACTAGTAACAAATGTGTGTCATCTTGAAAAGGGCTGGAGTGTTCCTCTGCCAAACAGTGTCCTGGACAGAGCCCATTGAACTATATTCTTTGTTCTCCACAAAATCAGCAGGGCAGTGCAAGCTTTAAGTGTGGATACAATTTCTTACTTGAGAAAACCAGAGAAACAATATTTTTTTAGGTCTCTATTAAAAAACAAAATCTTTAATGCTTCCTAAGTGTTCTTCAGATACTATGACATGGGTGATAACTGGGAAAAACAGGGTACAGAACATGCACCCCAGGGTTCCATGTTATAGCTTCCATTCTTTACAGCTGGGTGTCGGTGAAGGTGGTATGTTCCTTGGTCACTGAGCTGAAACCCTTGATGGCATTCATTAGTTCCTCTTCATCCACATACTGAAAAGCAAGCCGATCACTTGTTAAAATAGTCAACTGTCATTATATTTGCTCCTCATTCATAGCCTATCACTTTGATATAAAACGTGTTCAGTAAATTAAAAGCTGCTACTAGAATGTGGTTTAAGACAGACCTTCCTTCCTTTAAATTCCCTTCATTGATGGGATCACATGAGCTGTTGGCTAGTCCGGCTCAAGGCTAGAGTGTGCTACACTGTACAGTATGGCAGCCCCTGTGAGCCTCGGTGTATCAGTAGAGTAGGGAAAATTTGAATCTGCGTATACGTACTTTTTAATTTAAAAAAGTGAAAATAGAGGTTGTTTTGCCCTGTCCCTACCCTGCACTGTATTTATTGACAGGGTTAATGTATGATGTCATAATGAGCCAGTAACTAGACAGGTGTCGGCCCCTTCCCGGGACCCCACTGCCGCCTCCTGTGCACTGCCCTTCACCGGAACTGAACACCAAGCAAACACGCATGGTCATTGTGTGCCGCGGTTACAGGTGACGCCGATGACTGCAGCCCCACAGAACAGTGACTGCCGTGTCCTTAGCTAGGTCCCCGTGCTTGCTCTGTGATGACGGTAACTGCCCTTTCTAGCACGTGGGGATTACGGGGGTGTTTCATCTGTTTGTTTTGTTTGCTTAAAGCAAATAGTTCATTTAGCAGTTGTGCATTGCAGCTCAATTAACCCTGCAAACAAAACAAAACAAGGAGGTCTGGAATGGAATTCTGTATAAGAATAACTGTAACAAGATGAAGCAGGGTTTGGGAAAGGGCTTTTTGTTGTTTGTGTGAGGCAAGGTGTCATGTATCCGGGTAGCCTCACACTCGCCTCAATTCCTGGGCGGAAATTATAGGTGTACACTGCTGTGTTCCACTTAATGTGCCTGTAGGGATTGGGCAGTGTAGGTGAGGGCTACCCACTGAGCCGCAGCCACAGCCCACCCCCTGAGGACAATTTCTAACTTCATTGTATGTTCAGTCTTTCAGAACAAGCACAAAAGACCCCAGTGGTGGCAGAAAAAGGGGATCTGGAGCCAAGCAACTAACCCCCTTTACCTTTACCATTGGCCACTAGTCAAAAGGACACCATGAAAGTCGTCAGCTTTGCAGTGAAGGGAAGTGCAGAAAACTTGGGAAAGGTTAGTTGGAGTGTACATGAACGCAGGGCTGTTTGGAAGCCATGGACGTTTGGACAACTAACTTCTCTGACCTCAGTTTCCTTTCTTGCCAGCCAGTCAGAAAAGCACTCCCACAGATGTCTGAGATGACAAGGCAGCATAGTTGGTGAGTCCTTCCCTGTTCATCCCCTCAGCCAGGAGGGAACTGGAGGCTGTGGTGACGGGCGATCCCTCAAAGCTGCCCCTTTGAGCTGTTGGACTAACGTTATGAAGGATGAGCTCATAAGTGGTGGCAGAGGGCTGGTGATCTGTCTCAGGTGATAGAGTGCGTGTCTGGCATACACAGGGCCCTGGGTTCAACCCCAGGGCTGCGTTTCTTGTTTGTTTTTAAAGTTTGGACATGGTAGCACATGCCTGTCATTGTAGCATTTAGGAGGTTGGGGGGACTTGCAACCTTGTCTCAGTGTATGACCGAATAACGAATAATGTATCTATTATGGTTTCCTGGGGGTTTACGTAAACCAGCTGCTGTGTTTTAGGCCTATGTAAATCAGCTCCTGTTTTTCCGTGTAGTTGCTGAGTGCGTTATCTTATAGCAGGTCTACAGGCAGTTCCTAGCCTGCTAACCGAATAGCAGCTGCAGCACTGTTAAGCCAGCTGGGAAGTGCACTGAGGGCTCAAGGGCATCGGTGTGTACAGAAGGCGGTCAGCTCACCAGTGCGCTGCTGTGGCCCATAATAGTTTCCCACAGTGAATCGGCGGCGGCGACCTTCTTGTCTGGGATGTCCATGAGCTGGCTGACACTGCGGTGGAGAGAGCCCTGGGAGCAGCTGCGGCTGACTTGGCTCTGACTCGGGATCCGCAGTACAGACACACTTCGGCTGCTCCGGATGCTCAAAGGAGTCCCAGACCGAGGGAGTCTGGTATCGGCTAGTCCCTGAAAAGGAAGTTGCTGTTGGCGATGGCCAGGGAACGGTGTGTAGTTGGGAGCCGGAGTTCACACACCGTGATGGAAAGGACTGGCTTCCTAGAGCCTCCCACAGCAGAACTTGAAGTGTGCATTGTGAATGCCTGGACTACTGTGTCCTTGTTTCCCCGAGACAATACGCTGGTGTTAGTGGTGGCACTCGTGTCCTGCCATGGTGGGTTTTGCTTCCTAGGGGACCAGGCCTGCCAAGCAACGACCCCGGGGCTTGGGGATGGGTTAAAGTGCTCTCTACCTGCATATTGACATGGAGCCTGCACCACAGGAGCTTCTCTTCACCCTCATTAAAAGTGAACCCTAATGTTTCATGGTTGCCCACTACAAGCACTACAGAGTTGTGGCTGTGTGTTGGAAGTGATCCCTCCCTTCCTCTTATTCCCATATCTACCTTCTTACAGGAACCGAGGGGCCATAACTCATCAGCTTGGGAATTATCACCAGCAAGGCAGCATCTCTGCATAGTTATAATCTAAGATGTGCTCTCACAGTAAGTTCTAGCTTACTGAAGCATCCTGAGTTTCTGATGTAATGGTCCCCTCAGTGAAATAGTGCCTCTCGTTAGACAGTCAATATAGCATGCAAAACATCAGATGGCGTCCATGCAGCACACAGAGGTACCTCAAAGTGCATGGTGTAACTTTTCAGGGTGACACTGCTGGACACATCAGATATATCAGCCACAGAATCAAACTGGGAAGAGAACAAATTTGGGAGCATCAGTCTTGGGTTCAGAGCCAAGATGGCTGAGCAGTACCCTTCACACAGCTCTACAGCAGAGAAGAGTTTGAGCCGCGAATGGGAAACCGTTTTGAGGAGAGCAAATGAACTCTGGAAATGAGAAGTGATGGTGACGCACAGAATAGAGAGAAGCAATCTGTAGCATTGTCAGCGGCACCCTATCCAGGATGGAACCAGATGCTGCTGGCATCACATAAAATGTGGACCGTAGCATCAAATAGGCAACCCAAGTGAGACATCCCCAGTACTTACAAGCAGCTGCCCGACAGGGCTGTGGCTTCGTGACAAAACGCTCCCCACACATGTGCAAAGTCCTTGCTCAGTGTCAGCACACATTAAAAAAGAGAAGTGATCCCTACGAACCAAGTAAGTAAGGCCCTTACTCTGGACTTGCCCCAGCCCCCACCCATGCCTTAACAGCCTCTTTGTGATGACTTCTTGGCATAGGTTTATAGAAGCCAAATGATAGATAGGCCTTACCCAATGGGGTAGTACATGCTTGGGTCAGTATGTACTTCCACCTTTCTGGGTAGATTGCTTTCACAGGATCCTGCAGCTTAAGGTCCAGCAGCCACTGTGGCCACAAGCTCACGAATTGGGAAGGATCTTTTTACACCACAGTTGGACTGTAGCCACTGCTGAAAATCTCTGGTCTCATCCATGCCGATACAGCTAGAGCTGATAAAGTACCAGGAAAATCCGGTAGGTCCAGGAACACAAGTGTCCCAGGCCCCCACCTGTCTTCCACTGCATGTGATCTAGGACTCTCCTGTCCTATCTAATAACTTTGGGGCTACAGCCATTGTAAGAACATGCCAGTTTCCCCTGTGCCTTGGGAGCAAGCCATATGGTTTCAGGAACATAGGAACCAGTGGCTCTAGCCTCGTGAGCACCTGCACTGTCACCTGGTCTACGAAAGCTCTCCCTCCTAGCTGGCATTAAGACTGTAGTTATGATAGAAAAAATGATCACTCAAGCTTGGCCCTGGGGATCAGGGAAGGAGTGTGCACATCAAATTCACTATGGTGACTGTCAACAGCACATGTCACCCCCACAATAGCTTTACCTGTAGGGAACATCCCCTTCTAGTCTCTGACGTTCTAGGACTGTTACAGACCAGATCCACAAGCCTCAGAACTCTACTAGTGAGGCCAAACAAAGTTTTCTGTATGTCCTTCTAAGGATTGGGCATGGCAGAGCACAAGCCTAAATGAAAAGCTCTAGGTACTGAATGATTGGGGGAATGGACATCACCGCCATTGACTTGGAGCCATACTTGTCGGTGCCATGTGTGCTTGTTCCCTGTCTTCGGGGTTGTCATTGTCTACAGGACCTAGTGAAGACCCACAATGTCTTGGCCCGTAGATGCAATACCATCTTTGAATAGCTGTTTCCTGAAAAAGGCTTCGTCCTGATTTGTGGCCCTGAACTACCACTGCTGCACCACAATCTTTGGCATCACCTGTGCTTTTCCGGAATTCGGTTCTCCCTGTAGCCACACCCCTTGGACTGGAAACTGCTCACTACCCCAGTGTTGCTGAAGTTGACTCTGTTAGGCCTAATGTCTAAGCCTATGTCTATTTCAAAACAAACCAATACCACCATGAACTGCTGCAGTCTAGACTGTTAAAGATTTCAGATACACCTGATAATCAGCCAAAAAAATGAGACTTTTCAAGCTCCCATGTGACAAAATGTCTCAAATTGTCATCCACTATCTCATATAGTGGATGACTTTCCCTATAAAATCCTTTCCCTATAAAAATGACTACATGAAAGTGAAAGAAAAATGTTACAGTAGACATAATAAGAATTCTCCAAGAACACATCCAAATTTGAAGGAAATCTACAAAATTCCTGAAACAATAAACATGATCCTAAGGAAACTGAGACAGACATAAGTACAGGTGAATAGTAAAAGAAGTGATGGGACTATGTAGAAGGTAAGTGAGGACCAAGAGATAGGAATCATTAAAAGAACCAGTCAGGAGTCTCTCATAGATGAAATGAAAAATTAGGAAGGAAACGTTCCACAAGAGCATAGGACAAACTAAGGAAAGACTTCAGAACTTGGAGACAGGTTACTGACACTAGCATATTTTGAGGAAAATGGACCAATAATGACAAAATTTACAAGGCTTATAGTGACATAGAAAGCGAAAGAAGGGTACTGAAAAAAAAATTTCATAAAATAATGGCAGAAAATTCCCCAAGAGCTGTTGGTGGGGAGGAGAGCTGTAACATGCCGACTTCTGGAGAGGACACAGCTGTTGCACAGATCAACTCACAGCACCTATGGTTCTATGCACAAGATTAAGCCAGCCAAAATTCCTGCATGTGTCACTCCTATCAGAAGAGATATTGGCAGCTGATAGCTGCGAGGGAGGGAAACATGCTCTTTGGGGATGGGGCCACTGGTAGGTTGCCCATGCCTCAGTGGATGGCCCTGCACACCCATGCACATATGGGCAGCATTGCTTGTACTGGGGGATTGGTATCCATAGCAAATTAGAAAGGAAAGCAGGGAGTTGAGAAGATGTGGGGAACTAGAGGAAGTTAATGGTGAATGTATATGATCAAAATACATTATATAAACACAAATACATTTCTAAAAAACTAAAAAATACTATGGTGGGAGAAATTGGAAGGGGATAATGGTGAATGGAGATATGATCAATATAATTGTATAAATATATAAACACAATACATTTAAAAACCCAAATCTTAAGAGATGGATATTGCTGAAAGAACCCAAACTAGCTTCATCTGGAATAGACCCTAACCATGGTATAGTTTAGTAGATACTGTGTATATGACAAAGAATTCTCAGATTTGCAGCAGAATTTTCACAGAAAACTTATAGCTCTCTAGCTATAAGTATGGTATTGCATAGGAAACATGCTAAAATAATACTAAGTAAAGTCTTTTCTAATAAGAAGGAACTTAGGAAATTCTTTGCCAACACTAAGAAACACAGGAACATCCTAACTAGAAATGTAGGGATGGTATCCGCTGTCATGAAAACACAAATGTATAAGACTTACTGGAATAATACCCTGAAGAGAAAGATTCAAAATTAGATGCTGCCAACTCAAACAAATACAAGGAAAGTAAAGTACTGTTATCAAAATGACGGGGAGAAGTTAATAACATTTTTACCTATGAATGGATTAAATTCATCAATCAAGAGATAATATATTGGCAGAATTGAGAACTAATTGATGGCCAGAGATAGTGGTGCACACCTGTAACATAAGTATATGGTAGCCAGAAGCAGAACTATGAGTTACCAACCATTTTGGCCTCCATGGTTACATAAACAAAGCAAGAGAACAAACAACAAAAATTCTAAGTCACAACTATGTGCTACCTACAAGAAACTCACTTCATTGCTTTGCTATAAAGATACACTACATGTACTAAAAGTCTGGGTAAAGATATGTCACACAAATAGGAGCCCAAAATGATCTGAGCTTGGTAGTTCAGGTTTGTAATCTCTCCTGTTTGGGAGGCTGAGACAGGAAGTTAGCCTGGGCAACTAAGGGAAGTCTTAAAAAAATGTTTGAGGGACAATAAATGTAGCTCAGTGGCAGAGTGTTTTTCTGGTATGTGCATGCTGTTAGGTTCAGTTTCTGCTACTGGAAAAAAAAAAAGAATAGGAATAGCTGCACTCATTCTAGATAAAATAGATATTAAAATGTCTACAAGGAGACAATCATAGTGAGAAAAGGACCTGCTCAAGAAAATTACATATGAATTGTAAAGGTATGTAAATGTGCTGGCCTGAATGAGAATGGTCCCCTTAGGCTCCTATGTTTGAATGTTTGACCCCCAGATGGTGGAACAGTTTGAAAAGTATTAGGAGATTTGGCTTTGTTGGAGAAGTATGTCACTTTTGGGTGGATTTTGAGGTTTCAAAATGTTGCTCTATTCCTCTTTTACTCCCTCCACCACCATGGTTGTTGTCTCAATATGTAAGTTCTCTACTGCTCCAGTGACAAGCCTTCCTGTTGCTATGCTCCCTGCCATGCTGATCATGGACTCACCCTCTGAAACTGGAAAGCAAGCCCCTTATTAGAGCCTTTCTTTTGTAAGCTAAATGGTGTTTCTTCACAGCAATAGAAGTGTTAACTCAGACATTACCCAATATGGGACTTCCCAATACAAAGCAATTTGAGCTCAACAGTGAAAGGCAGACTAATTTAGTAGGAGCTGGGTATTCAACATCCAAATGACCTCATTGGGCACATCTTGCAAACACAAAACCATCAAAGAGACAGCTGTACAGAACCATACTTCAAAACAAACACCTAACAGTTACTGAACAGCTCATCCAGCAGCAGCACATAGATTGCCCTCATCAGGGTCTTGAGGACAGAGCAATTAAACCACAAATGAATACTCAGCCAATTGAAATAAAACTGAAATTATATCACAGTTCTACTCAGACTAAGATTAAAATTACAGTGGAAGAGCATGAGGAATGGGAAGTGAACAGGTACATATAAATTGAATAACAAGCTCCTAATGACCAAGAGGTAATGAATGGTAGCATAGAAATCCAAAGTCATAAAACTACTATGAACTACTATAAAAGCTAGAGGAACTAGAAGAAATACGTAGATTTTTTAATATATACAATATATCCCAAAGTGAACCAAGGTAAACAGAAAATCTACCTGGACCAATAATCAGCAAATGATGTTGAAACACTAAGATTCTTTCATGTCAGGGCAGGAAAGATGACTCAGCTGTGAAGAGTGTTCATACTCTTGAAGAAGACCCAAGTTTTGCTCCCAGCACTCACATATCAGCATCTCACAACTGCCTGTAACTCCAGCTCCAGGGCAATCTGATGCCTTCGGGCCTCTTCAGGCATCCACACTCACATGCCCATACTTACACAAGACCCATAAACATATAATTAAAAATAAGATAACATCTTTAAAAAATTAAATCTTGTCTCCAAAAATGTCCAGGGTGAAGGTAAGTTATGTTTGCAGGTATGACCTTATGCGTAAATTCCTCACCAGAGAGCTGTGAGATAAATGGTAGCGATAAGTGACTTCCTAAGAGTGAAAAGCAAGTCACTTCAGGAAAAGACTTTCTTTCCATACGTACCACGTGGGTTTCCCCTGGTGGGTAGACACTCAGTGGAGTCATTCGTTTCTGAAGAGGTACCAAGGGTGGTCTTTCTCTGACACATGGTTCCCTGTGGAGTTTTCTTTGTAGAATCAAGGACAGAAAGATGGCCAGCAGGATCAGGCCCAGCACTGCCATTACCACAATGAACCACAGTTCGCTGTAGAATTCGGTGCTTTTGGTCCCTGCTCCCTTCTTTTCTCCAGGAGTCATCAGCACCAGGCCTGAAAAACCCATGGAAAGAAAAAGATTCTTTCAGAAGACCACTTGCAGCTTTGGGGGCTGATCTTCCGTTGGGAAGCAGAGTCTGCCCTTGATTCTAATTGCATGTGAGCTAGAGTGCTGGTTCGGGGTGGTGCAGGTCACCGTCACCTTAGAAAGAGTAGTCGACAGACAAGAGACAGCAGTTTTTGAAAGAGGGTCGCCCCATCCTTGGCTGTGTGTCCTGAGCATAGGTTTTCCCAAATCACTGAGACATAAACATTGTTACTGCCAAGGCTCCCTCACCTCAGGCAACACCTCTGCTCCTCAGAGGAGTTGTGCAAACTGGATTTGGAGACATCTAGATCTTTTCAATTGTGGATATCAACGGCCTGTTCTTACCAATAATTTTCCCATGCTTGTTGCTTGGCCTCTGTTAATTAGCCAAAGCTCTAAAACTCATCTCAAATACATTGGGAAAGCCTCCTACAGAGGGAGGTAACAGACCACTTTCCTGGTTTTGTGTGCTAAAGTTGATATCATCCTCTTGATAGAGGGGAGTCAAAGTTCACACTCAGTGGGTGTTCCAGTTTGAATATGTGTAGGATGCTTGGGCTCTAGTGTTTGGGGACAGGCCAGTGATAGGTGACATATCACTAAGGCTCTCACCTCACCAATGGGCAGATCTGTTGGTGACTTTGTGCCTTAATGGGCTGTTGAGAGGTGAGGCCTGGTTGGAGGAAGTGGATCACTGAGGTCATGTAAAGGGTGTAGTTGGTCCAGACCATCTGTCTCTGCTTCCTGGTTGTCATGAGGTATGAAGTAAGCATCTATGCCCTGTCACAAGCTTCCCACCAGTGTTCAGCCTCAGCCTCAGAGACGATAGGGCCACGTAACCACAGACTGAAATCCGTGAAACCCTGAGCCTAAATAAACCTCTCAGATCTTTTGTACAGTGAAAGAAAGCAGAACAACACAATGAGGCTTTCTAGTTATGAAGAGTAGGATTACCTATCCACAGGGGATAGGAGTAGAGCACAGGGAAAAGGGCTATGGCTTCCTACAGAACAGTATAAGGCAGTGGAATCATGCCATCATGTTGGCTAACCGAACAGGACAGGGTCTTACATCAGCTGCCCATCCCTTCACTGAGAATAGCCGAGAGGCTCACAGCGAAGATGCGGCCACCACCTGGGCTGGCCTGAAGCTGAGGGCCGACTCCCTGCCTCCTGAAAGCCAGTGCCAGGGCAGAGGGTGAGCTGATAGTGCTGAAAACCCCTGCTCTCTGGACACCGTCCTATTTTCAGCAGATCAGGACCAGGGAAGACATGCCAGGGCTTGGTATGTGCATCCTTGGGGTGGAGGAGAGTGTTAGAAGATGACTTGGATGAAGTTTGGACCCCGAGAGGAGGACATACCTTTTAGAACCCAGCTCTACCCCTGGATGGTTACATGGTTTGCAGTCACTAATGCCCCGGCCTCTTCTTTCTCACTTCTGAAACAGAGCTGAAGACAGAGCTCCAGCAGGTGGGATGAAGCCCCCTTCCCAGTGAGAACCAGCTTGGGGTGTTTGAAAACTGAACCCTGGATGTGCAGGAAAAGGGTTAAGTTTGTATGACATGGGCTGGGACCCCAGGGACATCTGATTGGCTCGGTGTGCTCTCTGCTCAGGAGTACACAGGGAATGAAGGGCAGGGTCCCTGGGGGGAGCCTCAAAAGTAGAAAGCTCAGCAGTAGAAGATGCTGCCTCTGCTGCTTTCCCGCTTAAAGGCTGCCTTCAGGCAACGGGACAGGAACTCTTTAGAAACTACATCATAAAAATGAGCACTGACTGGCTATAGAAGCTGGGCAGCACAACTCAGAACCAGCAGGCCACAGAGTTCCTCCCCTCCGCTGTGCCAGGAGGCCGACTCCAGACACCAGGCCGCCCTCAGCCAGGTTTCTCACAGTGGGAAGTTCCATTTGCCTCAATGGGGTCATGTCTAGCCTTCCTTTCAGACTGTAGTTTTCCTTGAAGGGTCCTGCCTTGCTCATCAAGGGCGATGATTTGCTCATCACAGTCAGGAGGAATTCCAGCATTTGGGAGCTGGCTACATGGAAAACCTAGCCCTGGATCTGGAGTCAAGTGAGTCTGAGTCCAGATTGATGGAGAATTTGGGTCAGTTGGCATGCAGGGCTGGGCTCTAGCACCAGACTCATGGGACAGGACTTATTTAGAAGACCAAACTCCTCAGTCCCCTCCCGTCTGTGTATGTGTTGGGGACCTGAGGTTCTGCTTAATTAACAGCACACAGAGCTGATTCTTGCACACACACAAATCAGAGAAACACTTGAAGACAGTGTCCAAGGCTAGGAGTTGGTAGGATGACCACACTTGAGTGGGTGAACATCACACACCTTTGCAGAGCACTCCTGGGTAAGTCCCTGTGTCCCCACCATACAACCGCGAAGTGATTTGTTGAAGATTAGCCAATGAAGTCTTCTGCCTCACAGCTCTGAATAAAATGAGATTCGCTTATGGGAAGGGTCATGTTAAGTCTGAGATGTAAATATGCACCTAATGGAAACTCGTGAGGGGAAGTGTGTGTGTGTGTGTGTGTGTGTGTGTGTGTGTGTGTGTGTGTGTGT